AAAATACAAAAATTTCAAGAATTGCTACATATACTAAAACCATATCTTTCTATGGAAAACTCAAGATTTAAAAGGCAAATTGAACCAGAGAAAAGACGTGTTGTATGTTTGAGGTAAGTATTTTTATTGATAATTAAGTAATCAAGTATAATTGGGTTTTTTAATTAAATTTAACTATCTTTTGTCAGTTCAGTATTTAAATAATTTATCGCTAAGAATACATATTGATAATCGATGCAAAAAATGAAATTATGTATAATTAATTACGAATTCATTAAAAGTTATAAAAATACAAAAATTATCATGTAAGTCGAAACCACCAGTTATAGTGGAAAATCCAATAAGTTGGCAACATTAGACAACACTGAGTATCAACACGCGCCGAACGCGCCGCCTTATATGACGTCATCAGCATTCGTCCTTCGATATCGTATTATACCTACCGCATTTTATAAAATTCGGCGCGTACGGTGCGGCTGTAAAGTGCGAGGTTTCATATGATTTCATACAACGAATTCTAAAATTCGGCGTGTACGGCGTGTGCGGCGCGGACAAATGTGAGTTCAGCTTTAAGCTGCTATTTTACGCTGGTTTTCTGTGAGAGCGTGGCCCTTCCCCGGTCGAGCCGACCTATTCGTGCTACAACTATACTACTAATATAGCTGCAGCATGGCTCTACCACGTAAAAAAGTGGAAGTTCTTCTTCTCTGTCTTTCAATAAGAATCGAAAAAGTGGGACATATAACGGCCTAATATACCGGTAACGTAGATTACTACGCACCGAAACGGGTAATTCGAATTTTTCGAAAAAAAAAATTGATCGGTTTTTTAAGCATAGCCTTCATTTTAGGTGATAGAATTTTTTTTCAGAAAAGATTTTGTAGGGCTTTTCAGGAGCTATAAGACTTTGTGAATTAAATTACTTAAGATCCCTTAATTTTTAAATGGGGAGAGTTTAAAGCGCTTGAATAAGGTGATGTTAGATCGTAAATGTAGGTGTTAAACGGCTATATCTCGCCGAATATTCACTGTACAAAAAATCTGCGCACAGGGAAATTTTTGTCATTAAAAATGCTACAATTTAGTACTATATCATTTTCTTCGTATCTTTAGTATTTTGGGAGATATTTTTAAGAAAAGGGTTAAAAACACGAAATTGAAAAAAATCTTTTTCTCTTTAAACTTCAATTTTTCTAAAATTAGGCATTTTAAATTGGTCAAACTTCGTGGGTGTATTAATAGTACACATAGAAGGAGACAGAAGGGTGGTGATCAATTTTAATTAGGGGGTACTTTGGGGGTTGTTTTCACAGATTTTTTTCATAGAAAAAAGCGGGTGCCGATCTTATTTTGATCATAAGTCGGTCAATTTTCATACTAGAGAAAATTTTTTTTGTTTTTGTTTGAGAGCTCAAATTAAATACATTATTAAAAAAAGATTCTATGAGCTTTCTTCGAATAATGTAAATTTTTCTCGTTATTTCGCTTTAAATCTTCCAATTTATGCATTTGACGAAAAAAGCTAAGCATTAATTTGCTGTATCTCAGTTCGTATTTGTCGTAGAAAAATTATAAAAAAAGCATTGTTTTTGTTTTTTTGAAAGCTACAATTTCGCTTTCTAGTAAAAAACTGTTACTTTCAACTTTGAATAACTCAAAAAATATTAGTTTTACGGAAAAAACGTATCTAATATTTTTTTCTTAGAATTACTTTTTCCATCGAATCCTATAGTTAAAATGTAAAAAAAAAATTCCAGTCCCGAGACGGGATGGCAACCAATTTTCCAAGGCTCCAGCGTACAGCGGCATGATATAGACAATGATCCTTGAGCTATTCCCTACCTTCTGTGAAAATTTCAAGTAAATCCATGGTGGACGAAAAAATTGCGAGCCAAAATGCTTCATTTCCTGGACTATTATGTATTCCTTGATATTATAATAACCATTTTGTGCTATTTTTCTTTAATAAAACATTTAAATTTAAAATTTTATACATTTTCTGGTGGTGGTATTACAAGCTTATGTTTGCTCCTAGTGTTTAAAGTATGAACGTCTTTATTCTTATCAAAGATATTTATGTTTCTATGTACATAAATTATTTTTGTGTAGTGGAGCAAGATCGGCATATTAGTAGTTAGAAACCTAATGAATCGTGTTGTATTCATTTGCGATTCTCTTTGAAACGTAATGAAACCGATCCTTTTTTGAAAAGATTTATCACTGGTGATGAAAAGTGGATTACCTACGACAAGAACGTGGAAAAAGGTCATGGTCAAAGGGTAGTCAAGCTCCACAGATTGTAGCGAAACTCAGACTAACACGCAATAAGGTGATGCTGTATGTATGGTGGAATTGGAAAGGCATCTTTTATTATGAGCTTTTACCGCCGGGCAAAACGATCGATTCGGATCTCTACTGCTAACAACTCATTAGTTGTTAGCAGTAGAGATCCGAATCTCATTAGATTCAAGCAAGAAATTGAGAAAAAGCTGCCGGAATTTATCAACAGAAGGAATGGTCTTTCATCATGATAACGCCAGACCACACACATCGTTGGCCATTCAGCAAAAATTTACCTGTCCTGACTTTACACCCTCTGTTTTTCACCTGTTTCGAACTCTTCAGAACTCTGGATAGTGTTAGGTTAACATCAAGAGAGGACTGTCAAAACTACTTGTCGCATTTTTTGGTCATTAATCCCAAGATTTCTACAGCAGCGGGATTATGCCCCTACAAAATGGCAACAAGTTATCGAAAAAATGAACTTGAAAAAAACTTTGAAAAAAAATAACTTGAATTTGTAAATAAAATACGAAGAAACTTTTTCCCCAACGTATTATTAATATATCTATAATAGAAAACATTGTATCCCTTTTTAAGCATATTGCGTGCGCAGAGTAGTGTGAGATTTGAAATACTTAAATTGTAGGTATACATATATCGCAGAAAACCATTTTTTTTGTTATTTAATATATTAAATTAAATAATACATTTATTGTTTATATTCATACTGTCAATTTAAAACACATAATAGACTTTGGTCAAACAGTTACACAGAGTAGAGATTGTAGCCAAAGAATTTTAAAATGTTGCCAATAACTTCCTTAATTTTGTCTGATTTTAAATGTTCCTTTTTCAATAGTCTGTGGAGCGTATAGTCTGTTCGCTTAGATACGGTCGCCATGGTGTCGCGCCGCTTCAGCACGTGCCGAATGTTGTCAAAGGCGCCGCCGCGACAACACAGGTCACCGCGTGCAGCGTACACCCACAGGAGAATTTTACATTTTAAAAAGATACGCTGCACTGTAGTGAAAGGCTGTTTTTTGTTGACTCTGCTACGTATACAGAAAATGTTTATTCGTCCTTGGAAGGACAGTGAAGTGCTTCAAGATTGAATTTATGCCAATCAGTTCGCTAAACATAACAAATATCTCTTCTATGAGGTAATGTATAGGAGCGGCTAATGTTAAGCAGTACATTTATGATAAGTGGTAATGAATGAATACTTCTTTTTTTTAATAAAATCAAGGTGATAAACGAACATACAGTCCACCTGATGGTAATTGACTATTGCAGCTTATTCAAGCTTCACAGAAAAGAGTTTATAGAAGAGATACTGGCTGTCTACATTATTCACGACTAGAACACCGCAGAACACTGCTATTTGGTAACAAAAATAGGTAAGATGGTGATATAACCACAAGGACTTGTATACAGAAATCTTGTCCAACTAGTGGTAAATGAATGTGGTTTATTTGTGAGCGTAGTGTTGTGTGGGGTAGTATCGTGATTATGTGCGTATATTAGTAGCGTAATGCCCGTGTAGTAGTAGTACATATAGAAGTCTCTGGCTGTGATGAATGAATGTGGCATCTTTGTGAGCGTAGTGTTGTGTGGTACGATGTCGTGACTTAGTGCGTATATTAGTAGCGTATTGCCCGTGTAGTAATGCACATAGAAGTCTCTGGCTGTAATGAATGAATGTGGCATGTTTGTGAGCGTAGTGTTGTGTGGGGTGATGTCGTGACTTAGTGCGTATATTAGTAGCGTATTGCCCGTGTAGTAATGCACATAGAAGTCTCTGGCTGTAATGAATGAATGTGGCATGTTTGTGAGCGTAATGTTGTGTGGGGTGATGTCGTGACTTAGTGCGTATATTAGTAGCGTATTGCCCGTGTAGTAATGCACATAGAAGTCTCTGGCTGTAATGAATGAATGTGGCATGTTTGTGAGCGTAGTGTTGTGTGGGGTGATGTCGTGACTTAGTGCGTATATTAGTAGCGTATTGCCCGTGTAGTAATGCACATAGCAGTCTCTGGCTGTAATGAATGAATGTGGCATGTTTGTGAGCATAATGTTGTGTGGGGTGATGTCGTGACTTAGTGCGTATATTAGTAGCGTATTGCCCGTGTAGTAATGCACATAGAAGTTTCTGGCTGTAATGAATGAATGTGGCATGTTTGTGAGCGTAATGTTGTGTGGTACGATGTCGTGACTTAGTGCGTATATTAGTAGCGTATTGCCCGTGTAGTAATGCACATAGAAGTCTCTGGCTGTAATGAATGAATGTGGCATGTTTGTGAGCGTAGTGTTGTGTGGGGTGATGTCGTGACTTAGTGCGTATATTAGTAGCGTATTGCCCGTGTAGTAATGCACATAGAAGTCTCTGGCTGTAATGAATGAATGTGGCATGTTTGTGAGCGTAATGTTGTGTGGGGTGATGTCGTGACTTAGTGCGTATATTAGTAGCGTATTGCCCGTGTAGTAATGCACATAGAGGTCTCTGGCTGTAATGAATGAATGTGGCATGTTTGTGAGCGTAATGTACAAGCGTAGCGTAGTATACAAATAAGTCTTTGATTGTAAAGAATGAGTGTCGTATGTTTGTGAGTGTAGTATTATGTGGGGTGGTGTCGTAATGTATTATTACTGTAGTGCTTGTCTAGTAGTATACATTAAGGGTTTTTGCGCGTGTGGAGTGTGAGTGGTGGTATACGCACCTGTGTTGGTGCAGTCACAGAGGAAGTGGCCGCGGCGGTCCAGGCAGCGGCCGGCGTGCAGGCAGGCTGCAGCGCCCGCGTCAGCGCACGCGTCGCGCGCCGCCTCGCACAGCCGCCCGCTGTAGCCTTCAGCGCACGCACATTGCGGCGGCTGCACACACACACGTACACATACATACACTATATACTATAAATACCGCGCACAGCCGCCCGCTGTAGCCTTCAGCGCACGCACATTGCGGCGGCTGCACACACACACGTACACATACATACACTATATACTATAAATACCGCGCACAGCCGCCCGCTGTAGCCTTCAGCGCACGCACATTGCGGCGGCTGCACACACACACGTACACATACATACACTATATACTATAAATACCGCGCACAGCCGCCCGCTGTAGCCTTCAGCGCACGCACATTGCGGCGGCTGCACACACACACGTACACATACATACACTATATACTATAAATACCGCGCACAGCCGCCCGCTGTAGCCTTCAGCGCACGCACATTGCGGCGGCTGCACACACACACGTACACATACATACACTATATACTATAAATACCGCGCACAGCCGCCCGCTGTAGCCTTCAGCGCACGCACATTGCGGCGGCTGCACACACACACGTACACATACATACACTATATACTATAAATACCGCGCACAGCCGCCCGCTGTAGCCTTCAGCGCACGCACATTGCGGCGGCTGCACACACACACGTACACATACATACACTATATACTATAAATACCGCGCACAGCCGCCCGCTGTAGCCTTCAGCGCACGCACATTGCGGCGGCTGCACACACACACGTACACATACATACACTATATACTATAAATACCGCGCACAGCCGCCCGCTGTAGCCTTCAGCGCACGCACATTGCGGCGGCTGCACACACACACGTACACATACATACACTATATACTATAAATACCGCGCACAGCCGCCCGCTGTAGCCTTCAGCGCACGCACATTGCGGCGGCTGCACACACACACGTACACATACATACACTATATACTATAAATACCGCGCACAGCCGCCCGCTGTAGCCTTCAGCGCACGCACATTGCGGCGGCTGCACACACACACGTACACATACATACACTATATACTATAAATACCGCGCACAGCCGCCCGCTGTAGCCTTCAGCGCACGCACACTGCGGCATAGGTGTGACATGGACATTAAACATGATCTTTGTTTTGTCCATGTTCAAAAAACCTATTCGTTGGGAGACACTATTTAGGTTATTGAGCATGGTGCTTAGGTCCTCCGGCGATTCTGCCATAAGGACTATATCGTCGGCAAATCGAAGGTGAGTGATGTACTCGCCATTGATGTTAATACCGTATCGTTTCCAGCCCAGAAGCTAGAAAACGTCTTCCAATACAGCGGTGAAGAGTCTCGGGGATAAAACATCACCCTGTCTTACAACTCTCTGTAATTGGATAGATTTCGTACTCTGGTTCTGTACTCGGATAGCGACAGTCAACTTGGCACCGCTGAAGGGACTGCAGCACCGCCCAAATTTCGACGGAATCAAAGGCTTTCTCATAGTCCACATACGCCAGACATAGTGGCAAATTATACTACTCTACAATCGTCGTGTCTTCTGTGAAATCGGTCTGTAGTTTTTCAAGAGAGCGTTGTCACCTTTCTTGAAGAACAAGACCACTGCACTTCTGCTATATATATATATATACACTATCACTAGCTGGTACCCGGCGCGTTGCAGCCGCAGAAGAAATAATTGTGGTAATATCGTTTTAAATTTGGAAAAGTTATATTATTAGGAATGACAATGCATTCATTGATTTTGAATGATATATAACTTAAAAATGTGTCGGTACTTTACGCGCGCCACCTACTGTAAGTTAATTGTACTATGCCCATAACAACCCATACGTAACCAAGTATAAAATAATAATAAACACGTATTGTCAGAAATTTGGGGATCTATGAAAACCTTAGTTAACACTTTCATTCGAAGTAAGATGTTCTGTGGGCAAGCCACAGCCACTACAACCAACCAAGCCCCACGATTCTTTATACGATGCTAACGTCACTCAATTCTTTTGCCTTCCCGGAACCTCTCCACTAACACTTAAACTTTATGGTATGGTATTAAAGTTCAAATTGACTTTTAATTATAAAATTTAAATTAAATTTTAATTAAAAATAAAAAGATTATTACGAATCTTTTGTATGGGAATATAAATGTTGTTTATAGACTTTTTCCAGGCAATTTTTAAAACCTTTTTCTACGTAAGAACAATCGTCGTACTTCAAGGAATATTATAAAAAAAGAATTAGCAAAATCGGTTCAGCTGCTCTCGAGATTTGAGCTTGGCAATATATTCAGCGATTCATTTTTATTTTATAGAAGATATATAAAACGAAAAAATATATTAAAAATTCACAGAAACAGTATTTAATCTACTCAGGCATGCTTTAAAAACTGTAACTATTTCACTAAAAAAAAATAAAAAAAATAAAAAACAAAATAAAATGAAAAATCTAGGGCACTAGAAAGTTAAATCCGACGCTGCTCTAATGCCTCTTCTACGACACTCAATTTTCACTGTCATACATCAAGGTAGGGATTAACACGGCAATATAAATTGCCGTAAACGACATCATTGACACATTCTGACTTCGCTTAGTATAGACCAAAGCAAGGAAGCCCTACTGTCTCAAATAAGATTAATGAAGAAATAAGGGAGATACTTACGTTGGCATCAGTGACGCAGGTGCCGTGCACGCAGGGCTCCAACTCGCAGAAAGCGAACTCGCAGTGCACACCCTCGAAACCCTCGAAGCAGTCGCAAGTGTAGTTGTTACCAGTTGGCGGGTCTACGAGGACAAACAAACACCATGTTATTTTCCCTACTCTCTTTTAAACCCTTTATTTCATAACTCCAGGCTAAAAAAGAAAGATAGATTGAGTGTATGATTTAAGTGACGACGAAACCATTCTATAAATGTGGTAAGCCTCGCTACAGCTATATTATGGTTGCAGCATGCCAGTATGTATGTACGTGTCAGCTCGACTGATGAAGCCCCACTGATGATTGAAAGAGTTACATCAGAGAAAGTAGGTTGCGGCCGGGATGGTTCTTAAGCCCGATGCGTGCAATTAAGATTGGAAAACATACTGGAATACAACGAAGCGTACTAGCATTGTGCATTTTTTAATATATGTGTATGTGTGTTCTTAGTTCGTTGTGTAGTTCGTAGAGTTAATATTTGCTATTGTTTCTTTAAGTATAAGTTTAGTTTTTGAGTCGATGTTAGTTTTCGATGTTCATAATATTCGTAAAAAATAAAATAAAATATTGTTACGTGCAGGGTGAGTAAATATGAAGATTAGGATGCAAAATAGATGTATTTTTTCCACACACACAGTAAGTATAAAATTACATCGTCCAAAATCGCTAAGCTTCTTCAGTGAGGACCTTAATAATTGTAGATGTCGTAGGTCCCTGCAGGCGGCGGGCTGTATACTGACCGGGCGGCTGGTCCCTGCAGGCGGCGGGCTATGTACTGACCGGGCGGCTGGTCCCTGCAGGCGGCGGGCTATGTACTGACCGGGCGGCTGGTCCCTGCAGGCGGCGCGCTATGTACTGACCGGGCGGCTGGTCCCTGCAGGCGGCGGGCTATGTACTGACCGGGCGGCTGGTCCCTGCAGGCGGCGCGCTATGTACTGACCGGGCGGCTGGTCCCTGCAGGCGGCGCGCTATGTACTGACCGGGCGGCTGGTCCCTGCAGGCGGCGGGCTATGTACTGACCGGGCGGCTGGTCCCTGCAGGCGGCGGGCTATGTACTGACCGGGCGGCTGGTCCCTGCAGGCGGCGCGCTATGTACTGACCGGGCGGCTGGTCCCTGCAGGCGGCGGGCTATGTACTGACCGGGCGGCTGGTCCCTGCAGGCGGCGGGCTATGTACTGACCGGGCGGCTGGTCCCTGCAGGCGGCGCGCTATGTACTGACCGGGCGGCTGGTCCCTGCAGGCGGCGGGCTATGTACTGACCGGGCGGCTGGTCCCTGCAGGCGGCGGGCTATGTACTGACCGGGCGGCTGGTCCCTGCAGGCGGCGGGCTATGTACTGACCGGGCGGCTGGTCCCTGCAGGCGGCGCGCTATGTACTGACCGGGCGGCTGGTCCCTGCAGGCGGCGCGCTATGTACTGACCGGGCGGCTGGTCCCTGCAGGCGGCGGGCTATGTACTGACCGGGCGGCTGGTCCCTGCAGGCGGCGCGCTATGTACTGACCGGGCGGCTGGTCCCTGCAGGCGGCGCGCTATGTACTGACCGGGCGGCTGGTCCCTGCAGGCGGCGGGCTATGTACTGACCGGGCGGCTGGTCCCTGCAGGCGGCGGGCTATGTACTGACCGGGCGGCTGGTCCCTGCAGGCGGCGCGCTATGTACTGACCGGGCGGCTGGTCCCTGCAGGCGGCGCGCTATGTACTGACCGGGCGGCTGGTCCCTGCAGGCGGCGCGCTATGTACTGACCGGGCGGCTGGTCCCTGCAGGCGGCGCGCTATGTACTGACCGGGCGGCTGGTCCCTGCAGGCGGCGCGCTATGTACTGACCGGGCGGCTGGTCCCTGCAGGCGGCGCGCTATGTACTGACCGGGCGGCTGGTCCCTGCAGGCGGCGCGCTATGTACTGACCGGGCGGCTGGTCCCTGCAGGCGGCGCGCTATGTACTGACCGGGCGGCTGGTCCCTGCAGGCGGCGCGCTATGTACTGACCGGGCGGCTGGTCCCTGCAGGCGGCGCGCTATGTACTGACCGGGCGGCTGGTCCCTGCAGGCGGCGCGCTATGTACTGACCGGGCGGCTGGTCCCTGCAGGCGGCGCGCTATGTACTGACCGGGCGGCTGGTCCCTGCAGGCGGCGCGCTATGTACTGACCGGGCGGCTGGTCCCTGCAGGCGGCGCGCTATGTACTGACCGGGCGGCTGGTCCCTGCAGGCGGCGCGCTATGTACTGACCGGGCGGCTGGTCCCTGCAGGCGGCGCGCTATGTACTGACCGGGCGGCTGGTCCCTGCAGGCGGCGCGCTATGTACTGACCGGGCGGCTGGTCCCTGCAGGCGGCGCGCTATGTACTGACCGGGCGGCTGGTCCCTGCAGGCGGCGCGCTATGTACTGACCGGGCGGCTGGTCCCTGCAGGCGGCGCGCTATGTACTGACCGGGCGGCTGGTCCCTGCAGGCGGCGCGCTATGTACTGACCGGGCGGCTGGTCCCTGCAGGCGGCGCGCTATGTACTGACCGGGCGGCTGGTCCCTGCAGGCGGCGCGCTATGTACTGACCGGGCGGCTGGTCCCTGCAGGCGGCGCGCTATGTACTGACCGGGCGGCTGGTCCCTGCAGGCGGCGCGCTATGTACTGACCGGGCGGCTGGTCCCTGCAGGCGGCGCGCTATGTACTGACCGGGCGGCTGGTCCCTGCAGGCGGCGCGCTATGTACTGACCGGGCGGCTGGTCCCTGCAGGCGGCGCGCTATGTACTGACCGGGCGGCTGGTCCCTGCAGGCGGCGCGCTATGTACTGACCGGGCGGCTGGTCCCTGCAGGCGGCGCGCTATGTACTGACCGGGCGGCTGGTCCCTGCAGGCGGCGCGCTATGTACTGACCGGGCGGCTGGTCCCTGCAGGCGGCGCGCTATGTACTGACCGGGCGGCTGGTCCCTGCAGGCGGCGCGCTATGTACTGACCGGGCGGCTGGTCCCTGCAGGCGGCGCGCTATGTACTGACCGGGCGGCTGGTCCCTGCAGGCGGCGCGCTATGTACTGACCGGGCGGCTGGTCCCTGCAGGCGGCGCGCTATGTACTGACCGGGCGGCTGGTCCCTGCAGGCGGCGGGCTATGTACTGACCGGGCGGCTGGTCCCTGCAGGCGGCGGGCTATGTACTGACCGGGCGGCTGGTCCCTGCAGGCGGCGGGCTATGTACTGACCGGGCGGCTGGTCCCTGCAGGCGGCGCGCGCGGGTGCGCAGGGCGCGTGCGCGCAGGAGCGCTCGCGCGGCAGGCGGCAGCGCGCGCCGCGCCACTCGGCCGCGCACGTGCACTCGAACCCGCCCGCGAAGTTGCTGCACGTGCCGCCGTTCTCGCACGGCGAGGACTCGCACTCGTCCACGTCCACCGAGCACCTGACACGCGACAACACACGACCACGCGTTTATTTCACGGTGCAACACAATAAAATAACTACTTCGGGACCTAATATACCTAGCTCACTCACAGAAATAAAGCCTATAAAAAGTCCAATAATACCTCAGATCCTTCCTCCTGTTAATAATAAAAAACCACTGCTGGACATAAGCCTCCTCAAAGCAATGCCACAAAGCGCGGACATACTACCGACATTCATCAACTTCCTGCATGACAGCCGATATAAGGCTGCCATTATATTACAATATAGTATCACCATAATCATCTTCATCATTACAGCCCTGTCACACTACACGTGGACTTCTGCAACAACGGAGGACTTCACCCGAACCTTAACGCCGTCCACTACTATCTAGAAAAATGCGAAGCCAGCCTTGCTCTTTTTGACCGATACGCAGGTGTCCTCTCTGGCTGATACTTCGTACCTGTCCTACCAGGCATACAAATTAGAACACTTCTTTGCGCCCCGGGCTGGAGTTTGCATATACGTCAGAGAAGATATCTGTTCTCGACACCTCGGCAGCCTTGAAGGTACCTGTTCATCCTTTGGCTGCGCGTAAACAGCGACGACCATCTCCGTATCTACTGGTGCCTGTATAGGCCCCATAGCAGTAATGCCGACACAGACCGACTCATCCACCACGTCCAAATAGCCACAGATTTCTTGATACAACAGATCCCATCCATAGAGATCGAGATACTTGGCGATTAAAATGTTCACCATGACGAATGGCTCGGGTTCACGTTTAACCGATTATGCGAGGAGATCTATTTATGACTTTGCCTTGGCATATGGTCTGACACAACTGCGTTCCGAACGAAAATCCCGGGGCCCCTCATGTACGCTGATGGTAACCGCCGTAAGGTTTTAGCCGATGGGAATCTGGCATAAGCTTTTCGTTGCCCCCGCAGCGGAAGGTATCCATGAGGATTTCCCCACGAAAAAAAAAATGATCTGATACAACTGGTTACTTCGCCTACGCGGATTCCAGATGTGGAAGATGGCGACAACGAGATGTAAACACCAGCATGCTTAAAAAGAAGTAAAACTTCGCCTCCAGGTCCTTTAAAAGAGTTATTACCAAGGCAAAGTATGAGCATATTGGGAGAATTTGAGATAAATAAGTTCACCTTCCTTCGGGAACCCGTGCAGCAAGCCAGTAAGCCATCACTACCATCTCTGCAAAGGGAGAACAACTCACTGGCCCACGCCGCAAAAGAGAAAGCCAACCTTTTAGGCTCCCTTTTTTTGCGTCCAACTCGACTCTTGATGACGGGGGGAACACACGGCTGACCATCCCGCGGTGTGAGTGCTCCATGCCGGATGTGCGGTTCTCACAGCGCTCGGTTCGCAAAGCACTGCTCTCCCTGGACATCCACAAGTCGAGTGGGCCTGACGGAATCCCCCCAATTGTGCTGAGGACGTGTGCTCCGGACTTGGCACCGGTTCTAACGCGTCTTTTCCGGTACTCCTACTCCCTAGGCGTAGTCCCGATATCATGGAAGACAGCTTTTGTCCACCCGATCCCTAAAAAAATTTCTCGAAAATACTGGAGTCCGTTATAACTGCCAGCTCATGCAGTACCTTGAGAAGCATCAGCTGGTTAGTGCCCTCCAGTACGGTTTCCGTCGGGGTCGCTCAGCTGGTGATCTTCTTGTTTACCTAACACAGATGGACGAAAGCGACCGAGTCCACGAGGGAGGCATTGGCCGTTAGTTTGGACATAGCGAAGGCCTTCGATCGGGTTTGCCACAAAACGCTTCTTTCAAAGCTTCCTTCCTATAGACTTCCCGAGAAATTGTGCAATTGGATCACGTTTTCTGGCTGATCGGAGCATCAAGGTCGTAGTAGACGTTGCATGCTCCGATTACATGCCTATTAACGCTGGTGTTCCAGAAGGCTGCGTGCTATCACCAACGCTGTATTTCAGCATATCAATGATATATTGCAAACCGGTAACATTCATTGCTATGCGGATGACAGCACTAGTGATGCTCTATGCACCGGCCGTGCCAATGTTTCTCGGGAAAACATCGCCGAGTACCGGAACAAACTTGTGTCTAAAGTCGAGTCTTTGTCGAACAAAGTCTCGGATTGGGGGCAACTAAATCTAGTCCAGTTTAATCCTTAAAAGACAAAGATTTGCGCGTTTATCGCTAAAAAGAACCCCGTTGTGTGTGTCCCAAAATAAATATTTTTTCATTCTTTCATATCCTTTTTTTCTCTTTGTCGTATTTCCTCAGTTTCAAGGCACTCCCCTTGTTGCCTCAGCCAGTACCGGAGTCCTCGGCGTCGACATATCGAGTGACGTGCAGTTTCGTGGTTACTTAGAAGAGAAGGCCAAATTGGCCTCTAAAAAGCTTGACGTGCTCAGCAGAGCGGGACAGTATTTCATGCCAGCACACTGCCTTGCAACAGGTTTGGCCTCATATGAAATACAGTTCCCATCTCTGTCAGCCAGGTACCGAAGGCGTGCTGTGTTTGTCCAGCCCAGAAAGGGAGAGTGGAAAAACGTGACAAGGAGTAGAGTAAATAACTTGTAGAGAGTCAAAAAGAGCCCTGAGCAAATATCGCGTGCACCTCTCGAGATTCAGCGCGTATAACCGCAAGGTTGGTGGGTGGTGAGCTGGCTGGGTCTCCCCAGTGTAAGTTCTTTCCACTTGAACGCATCCAGCGCAGAGCTACTCGAATCGTCAACGACCGAGTCCTTTCTGATCGGCTCGATTCACTGGCGCTGCGAAGAGATGTTGCATCCCTTTGCATTTTCTTTCGCATCTACCACGGGGAGTGCTCTGAGGAATTTCATCAACGCACATCGTGGTAAAATTCCCGATACTATCCACACCATCTGGGTGTATGGCGGTTCACAACTCTACGTTTCACTAGGAATTTTCATCCACGTACGTCCTCAATGTAGAATAGCTTATCAACGGCGATTTTCGCGGAACGATACGACTTAGGGACCTTCAAGAAAAGAGCTTACTCCTTTCTAAAAGGCCGGCAACGCACCTGCAATTCCCTGGTGTTGCAGTTGTTCATGGGCATTTGGAGATTCGTCGAATCTGTTCAGTTGCATGTATGCTGTATCTTCTATATCTTTATTTCAATCATTTAAATTATTTATAATTACACAAAATTTTTAATTACGTCATCTCGCCAATAATATTCGTCTATAATAAAATAATACACAAGATAAAAATAAAATACATTATTTTTATATGATTTTAATTTATTCAAACCAGACACAAATGGACGTAAGTAATATTTCATATATATCATAGCACGAAACAACAGGAAAAAATAATTGCAAATAATAAAAATTAAGCATTGTGATATTTTGTAGAATTTTCTGTTAAATGCTAAGAAAGACTCTACAGTTATTACTTAAATTTATTTTTAAACTTATATAATAAGGAAATACGAAAGTGGAAATTATTAATGACACTAAATGCACAGTAAATAGTAAATCATCTCACTCACAGTTCGCCCTCAAAGCCTTCCGGACAGATGCAAGTGTACATTGCTACGCCGTCCTTGCACGTCGCTCCGTTTTGACATTGATTCGTTTCACATTCGTCCACGTCGATCTGCAGACAACAATCAACATCAGAATTTTTAAATAAAATAACATTAGATAAAGATACGGACGTTCCATCGTTAATCGCTATCAATAAATTTCGCCACGTGAACGATTTACCGTGTACTGATGGTGTACGATCCACTACCTCGTATCATCCCGCGGGTGTCGTAAGCGGCGACAGAGGGAAACGAATCTGAAGATGGGCAGCAGCGTCCTCCTAATTTATTTAGAAAACCAACAGCGTATATATAAATATTAACATTAATGTAACAAACTAAAAGTATGGCCAATAACAGGTTTCCCTTATATTGCTTGATGGTAGGTGTATTGTTGTTGGAAGAAAAGGAAAGAAGAACAATCTAAAAGATAAATTATAAGCAAATCAATGTAATGAAGGTGATCATATGTTTACAGATCAGGAGAGAGAGTGAGGTAGAATGATATTTTACATTACCTTTATATATATATATATAAACACATACATACTTATGTACATACACACACATATAAAATGTATAAATATATAAACAAAATACAAATAATTAATTATAATATATATTAACACTTTCACTATCCGGTTTTCAGACCCAATAGTAAGATAATAGCAATGACCTATATATAGTACACGGGACAGCGAAAGGGTTAAATAAAATAACTTAAGTATTTATATTAGTAGCCTCAACAAATACATACAGAAAAAATAAAAGAGAGAATATATGATTATATGTGATTTTAACTTCAACTGCTCTATGTCTTAATACTCGTAGTTTTCTTGATGTCATCTTTAAATATAAGTTTAGATTTCGCAAAGAGGTCAATGTGTCCAAATTGTTCATTATATGTACGAGCGAGCCGCGAAAGAACAGTGTTTCGACAGTAGTTTGAATGATGCCAGGGAGTCTGCAACAATGTAGTATTGCGGGTGCGGAATTTTGGAGTACGAAAGGTGATTCTTGAGACAAAATATGGACAGTCAATATTACTGTTTATTATATCATATAACAAAACCATGTCAAGCAAAACACGCCAGTATTCTAAATATAAAAGATCGTGCTCAGTGCAACTCTCTGTGTAAGTATTGATTTTATTCAGACAGCGAAAGTTAAGGTGATTAACAAATATTTTTTGAATACGCTCGAGGCGGCTTTTGTAGACATTGTACTGTGGAGGCCAGGCTGGTGCAACTTCCATAATAAAAATTATATGTACTAAAGGGGACAAATTTTATTGACGGTTATCTGTTCTTTCTGCTTTTCGTAATATGTCTATTAACGACATTGTCAAATGAAATAGGTTCAAATGACAATTCAAACAATTATATTTGTATATATTTTATTCATTAAGATTGCTTTTAATTTTGCTATAGGAGCCGTTGTTCATTTACAGAATTGTTAAAAAATTAAATATGCATTATAAAACTTTCCAATTAAATGGTGCAAGAAGCGGAAAAAATGATAACAAGAAAAGACTATTCGTAGCAATATTTCCCTCAGATGATGAAAGGTATGTGGTGATTTCAACTTTAATTGTAATATGATATTTAATGCGAGTACATTTTTGGACAAGCCATCTATGTAGGACAGGTTTTTATATTGTACGATTGTGTGCACAAATACAAACACACTATTTCCTAAATCTGATAGTTCGATGGTATGGCAATACGAAACGAACTATACTTAGAAAGCACAATGTCAATTAGGACTGCTAACATTCTATTTGTTCAATAAATATGTGATTTTATTTATATTACTTTTTCAGATGCAAGCAATGAGTGAAATAGCTGGCACATGCACCAATTGAAAAGATTCACATGTTGAAACATACTTGTGGAAACATTGCATTTTGACCCAACTGAAACGAACTATTATTTCATCGGTGGACTTATTTAAACTTCCACAATTAAGTGTATGTTAATTAGGTTTCAATTACATGTAGCAAAAGATAATATCCCTCTAAAGTCACATTTTGGTAAGTATTCGATTATGTAACTAAACTCAGTCATTTGTAATTACCTGGTTATAAATTAAAAAAAAATATAGATTCATCTGCAAACATGAGCACTCATTTTGAAAGCGACAATTAGTAAACGATCTTTGCGAGTAGTATGTACATAGGTACCTCTGTAGAGGAGCCTAGCGATTTGTACATAGTATTTGTTACACTTAAAAGCAATTTAATCCAATCAGTGTTAAGAAAGCCCAATATTTTTTCCTTTAAAAAAATAACGTTGAAAACAAGCATCCAGACGCAGACTATTTATTTTACAGCATAGCAACTCTTGTTCAGTGCGGGAACGAAGCCTCGGTTCTGCAATGCCGCAGCCAAACGCTTAGCCACTGCCCTACGGAGTCGTCATTTACTTTTACTTAATTAATTACTAGTATAGTTTTCTATTTATATGTTCATTTTTTATTTTATATTTTCTTTATACATATTTTTGTACCTAATATTTGTAGAGATATATTTACAAATTGCCGTGTGTAAAATACATTAATTTCTTATCCTCATCGGCATTTTTACTCAATCCCCACATTATGAAAATTATTTCTAATAAATAATTCAGTATAGAGATCTAACTTTATTATGTAAAAATATCGATAAGCAATATATCGATAAAGCTTATATCGATAAAATTATACGAGTAAAGACATTTAAAGCACTATTATAATTGGTCAATGTTGTCAGCACTGTTTGTTAAAACTAAATGTCAAAACTTTCATGTTGGTACAGTAGCTTGGCGTACTTTCATACATTTACTTTTTCTATGGAAGTCCCGCCTCTTAAACGTAGTGATTATATTCTCTTTGGTGGAGACCATATTGAACTAGCATATTCCAAAACACTTCTGACATACGCAAAATAAACCATTTTAATTGCATTCATATTCGAGAATGATTTACAGATGCGAAGAACAAAACTAAGATTTTTATAGGCTTTACTGATTATATAGTCTGTGTTCGGATAGTATCATTTTATGATCAAAATTTACGCCTAAATCCTTAACACTTAGTTTTCTGTTGATTTCTAATCCGTCTAAGTGATATTTATTTAGAATTGTTATATTATTTATTTTGTAGTATTCAAATAAACGGTCCAGGTCCTTTTGTATCAATAGGCAGTGTATGTATGGTGTTAATTTTACAAAAAAATCTTCTTATCATCTGCACACATGAGATAATTTGTGTGTACAATGCACGAACCAATGTCATATAGGTAGGCATTGTAAAAAAGTGGACCTAAGTGAGAGCCCTGAGGAACTCCTGTAGGTATGTTTATGTAGCTCGAACGGAAACCACCTATAACGACTGCCTGTGAGTGGTTTGTGAGATATGATTCAGTTCACCGGAGCAAGTCACCGTGAGTTCCTAACATTTGTAATTTGTTGAGCAGTATCATGTGATCCACACCATCGAAAGCTTTTTCAAAATCAATGTAGATCACAAATAGAAAAGCCTCTATAATTATTTATTTCTGTACGTGATCCCTTCTTGTGTACAGGGACTATGTGTGCACACTTCCATTGATGCGGAAATATCCCTTCACGCAGAGAGCGATTAAATATAATAGTCAAGGGGAGAGCAAGTGATTTAGCGCATCGTGACCAAAAAAAAAGAAGGTAACCCATCACTACCGGCACCTTTGTTCGTGACCAAAGTCTTCAACATTTTTTAAATTTTTGCAGTGTTTGTCTGTACATTAGAAACGGTGTCAGTACACATCGATTCCGTATGTGGATATATGTAGTTATTACTAGCTACACCAAATACACTCTTGAAGAATGAGTTGAAAGCATTGCATATGTACCTTCGGTGTACTCTGCATCTTTCAAAGACATTTTCTTAGGGTATCCTGACCCACCCCGAATGCCTTTGACGAAAGTCCTAATAACGACAAAAATAAAAAAAAACTGCGGTTGCCAATCCGCTTGCCAAGCGTGGCAACTATAGAAAATATTGCCTCGATGAAGCAATCTATGGAGGAGATCTATGTTCAGTAGTGGACTTTATTAGGTTTTAATGGTAAAGATAGTGGAACGCTAAGTCTAGTTAGGAAATTTTAAACATAATTCTGTGATGATGACGGAGTGTGAAATTACAGAAACTATTTAAACAAGAGGCAATGAGTGTCTCAGATGTCTCAGGTGTCATCCACCGCGCTGACTGTCCTGCTGCAGGCAGATCTGCACTGCACTGCACCTGTGCACGTACCTCGCAGTAGTCGCCGGCGTACCCGGGCGGGCAGGTGCAGGAGTACGAGCTGCGCAGGTCGGTGCAGTGCCGGCCGCGCTGGCAGTCTTGCTGCAGGCAGAGCTGCACTGCACTGCACCTGTGCACGTACCTCGCAGTAGTCGCCGGCGTACCCGGGCGGGCAGGTGCAGGAGTACGAGCTGCGCAGGTCGGTGCAGTGCCGGCCGCGCTGGCAGTCTTGCTGCAGGCAGAGCTGCACTGCACTGCACCTGTGCACGTACCTCGCAGTAGTCGCCGGCGTACCCGGGCGGGCAGGTGCAGGAGTACGAGCTGCGCAGGTCGGTGCAGTGCCGGCCGCGCTGGCAGTCTTGCTGCAGGCAGAGCTGCACTGCACTGCACCTGTGCACGTACCTCGCAGTAGTCGCCGGCGTACCCGGGCGGGCAGGTGCAGGAGTACGAGCTGCGCAGGTCGGTGCAGTGCCCGCCGCGCTGGCAGTCCTGCTGCAGGCAGAGCTGCACTGCACTGCACCTGTGCACGTACCTCGCAGTAGTCGCCGGCGTACCCGGGCGGGCAGGTGCAGGAGTACGAGCTGCGCAGGTCGGTGCAGTGCCGGCCGCGCTGGCAGTCTTGCTGCAGGCAGAGCTGCACTGCACTGCACCTGTGCACGTACCTCGCAGTAGTCGCCGGCGTACCCGGGCGGGCAGGTGCAGGAGTACGAGCTGCGCAGGTCGGTGCAGTGCCGGCCGCGCTGGCAGTCTTGCTGCAGGCAGAGCTGCACTGCACTGCACCTGTGCACGTACCTCGCAGTAGTCGCCGGCGTACCCGGGCGGGCAGGTGCAGGAGTACGAGCTGCGCAGGTCGGTGCAGTGCCCGCCGCGCTGGCAGTCCTGCTGCAGGCAGAGCTGCACTGCACTGCACCTGTGCACGTACCTCGCAGTAGTCGCCGGCGTACCCGGGCGGGCAGGTGCAGGAGTACGAGCTGCGCAGGTCGGTGCAGTGCCGGCCGCGCTGGCAGTCTTGCTGCAGGCAGAGCTGCACTGCACTGCACCTGTGCACGTACCTCGCAGTAGTCGCCGGCGTACCCGGGCGGGCAGGTGCAGGAGTACGAGCTGCGCAGGTCGGTGCAGTGCCGGCCGCGCTGGCAGTCTTGCTGCAGGCAGAGCTGCACTGCACTGCACCTGTGCACGTACCTCGCAGTAGTCGCCGGCGTACCCGGGCGGGCAGGTGCAGGAGTACGAGCTGCGCAGGTCGGTGCAGTGCCGGCCGCGCTGGCAGTCTTGCTGCAGGCAGAGCTGCACTGCACTGCACCTGTGCACGTACCTCGCAGTAGTCGCCGGCGTACCCGGGCGGGCAGGTGCAGGAGTACGAGCTGCGCAGGTCGGTGCAGTGCCCACCGCGCTGACAGTCCTGCTCCAGACACAGCACGCAGCCCACACCCTGGGAAGCACCCCATGGACGGCCCGAGCTGTACGCGCATACAGAGAGAATATAGAATAAAAATTAAATCAATTCATAAAAGACTACTACATCTACAACACTATAAACTTGAATAACAACTCAACGGATTTCACCTAAACGAATCACTTATTCTGCCTAATCAATAGTAATTGGTCGGGCTCGAAGGACCAATTCTTTCATCACAGATTTATTATAACTGTCACTTTATTTCAGACACTTGAGCAGTTTACATCAACTTTCAGCCGCATTTCGTGCAGTTTTGATTAAAATAAAAGCAATCCTTTATTATATTATTTAAGACTTTAGGAAGATAATATTTATAAATACACAATCTGCAACGTTTTCTTAATCAGCACAGCTTAACTTTTTCTTTAGATATTGAATTATATCTATAGAAAACAAAATCGAAAACAAACAAAAAAATTGACACGTCCTTTTTAACTAATTTAAAAAAAAGGAAATGACTTTGTGTTTGAAACTAATTTTACGGATTGCATTTAATTTAACTTACTTAACTTTTTTTTAATTTCCGACCTTTCGGTAGCACCCACAGTCTCGGAAGGGGGTTAGGGGACTGAGATGTTTGAACTTCCTATGTAGCTCGGCTACCTTAGTTTTTAAATATTAATTTTTGGCCCGAACTACGCAGAACGAGTTTACAGTTTTGAAGTTTTGCAATGGTATGCTTGGGTTTGGGTTTAATTTTATTATTAATGGATCCCAAGCCGAGGTCCGTGTAAATCTAAGAAATCATTATCAGTTTGTGTTTGTCAATACCAAAGTCATTTCGGGTATCCAATATATAATTAATATTATTACAATTAAACGGTATGTGAAATGTAGAGATATGGTGACTCACAGCAGCGCGTAGTAAGGCTGCCTGGCGAGCAGCGAGGCGGTGGCGCCCACGAACAGCTCCTCCTCGCTGAAGAACGGCAGCAGCAGCTCGCCCACGTGCACCGCGCCCATGCACCCCTGCATCATGTTTATTTATTACATCTGTACTTGCAGCACCACCAACTTAATGATACAACAATACAATACAATGATTTTTATTCAATATACATTATTAGATAATACTTATTGAAAGTTATTTTTTATTAGTCTAAAGTTCAATCTGTATTTACGAAACTGAATAACAAGGACTTACTTTAAAGTACTCGCCCGATAAATTGTCGCTGATCAAATCGTCACCCTCCGAGTACTCCCACATAGTCTCAGTGGAGCTCTCCACCTAACACAAACGCTTAGGTTAAACACCACATTCGGCACTTAAAAAATAGATTTATTAAAATTTTAAGACATTAATTTATAACTTAAAAACAAAAGTTTTAATGAAACTTAGTATTTAAAACTATGATCAGATAATTAATTAGTGATATTTAAGCAGCATTCTAATAGTCTGACAGCAATTTGACAAAGTTTTTGAAGCAGTAGCAGAGTGCGACGTACGGCGGCTAGCGTGGAGCTAGTGGCAGTGGCAGCGCTGCTGGCAGTGGCGACGGTGGTAGCAGTTGCAGCGGCGCGCGGCCGCCGCAGCCCGCCCAGTTGCAACTCGCCCTCCAGCATAAGACGTTGCCACGCCTCCACATCGATGGGCGCCGTGAATCCCACCTCCTCTTCGCCCTCAGACTCTACGAATGCACCTGCCGGAATGAATTGAAATAGACAATCAGGACCATGATTTGTGGTATTCCTTGGGGGATACCTATGTTTACTATTGGACTTGTGAAGGGCTGTAATGATGATGATGATGATAATTTAATAGAATGTAATGAAAATGAATTGAATTGAAATATACGTCAAAATTCATATTAATTGCAAAAGAAAAACAATGAGATTAGTAAGTTGGTCCAATTAATGCTGATTCAATATTTTCTTTGTGATAGTGTAACATCCCTTCCAATCCCAACAAATTTTTGCCTGTCGTAGTGTAGCGGATTACAAGCCAAGGCTTCATCACCCATGGTGAAGCTAATAGGAAGAAACAGAGAAAGCCCGAGTTAGTGGATCAGCTGCAGCAGTAGCAGCACACTCACCCACCACATGTCCGTCGGCCAAGCGCAGCCGCGGCCTGCCCCACTGCAGGTGGTCGCTACAGTAGCAGCAGCAGCAGCTGGAGCAGCAGCAGCACACTCACCCATCACGTGTCCGTCGGCCAGACGCAGCCGCAGCGTGCCCCACTGCATGTGGTCGCTACAGTAGCAGCAGCAGCAGCTGAAGCAGCAGCAGCACACTCACCCACCACGTGTCCGTCGGCCAGACGCAGCCGCAGCGTGCGCCAATGTAGGTGGTCGCTACAGTAGCAGCAGCAGCAGCTGCAGCACACTCACCCATCACGTGTCCGTCGGCCAGACGCAGCCGCAGCGCGCCCCACTACAGGTGGTCGCTACAGTAGCAGCAGCAGCAGCAGCTGAAGCAGCAGCAGCACACTCACCCATCACGTGTCCGTCGACCAGACGCAGCCGCAGCGTGCCCCAATGTAGGTGGTCTCTACAGTAGCAGCATCAGCAGCAGGAGCACACTCACCCATCACGTGTCCGTCGGCAAGACGCAGCCGCAGCGTGCCCCACTGCAGGTGGTCGCTACAGTAGCAGCAGCAGCAGCTGGAGCAGCAGCAGCACACTCACCCATCACGTGTCCGTCGGCAAGACGCAGCCGCAGCGTACCCCACTGCAGGTGGTCGCTACAGTAGCAGCAGCAGCTGAAGCAGCAGCAGCACACTCACCCATCACGTGTCCGTCGGCAAGACGCAGCCGCAGCGTGCCCCACTGCAGGTGGTCGCTACAGTAGCAGCAGCAGCAGCTGAAGCAGCAGCGGCACACTCACCCATCACGTGTCCGTCGGCCAGACGCAGCCGCAGCGTGCCCCACTGCAGATGATCGCGGCGCGCGCGCATGCGGCGTAGCACCGGCAGCCCGCCACCCAGCCGCCACTGCACCGTCACCTGCTCCTTGAACACGCCCACGCTGAACCACCACTCGTTCAGCTCCGCGTGGAACAAGGTGCCGCCGCTCTTACTCCTGATTAATCATCAGCAAACAGCAAATTACCATTACCGTTACATCCTATCAAAATCCACTGCTGAACATAGGCCTCCCTCGTAGATTGCCTCATAGAGGTATATTTGCCATAGTTGCCACGCTTGTCAAACAGGTTGGGTTTTTTTTATTTTTAGTCGTTATTAGAAAGACACTGCTGCCCATCTCCTGATTTTTCCCTTAGGACAACTACGACATGATATGGGGTAGTGGAATTTCTTACACCGCCACCGGTTAAACCAAGCAAATTATTCATGAAAATAATATATAAGCTCACTTCAAATTCTCTCCGGAACTAAATCATTCGACAGCTGACGCCGTTGATTAGCTAATTAAACATATTTTCTGTGCATGGGAGCACGGGTCTGAGCCATATGCATCCATCGACTTCCTGCATCTTTTGCCAGGTCCTCACTCCATCTAGTGGGGGATGAACTGACGAGAAGATGTGTCGATTGACCTGTCGGTTGAAGTTGGACTTATCTAGTCGGACTATTTATCACAGGTAAACATAATCGTTAACAACTTCGAGCTTAGTGCTCCCAACAACTACCGGCATAGGTGTGACATGGACATTAAACATGATCTTTGTTTTGTCCATGTTCATCTTAAGACATATCCGTTGGGAGGCACTATTGAAGTCATTGAGCATAATGCTTAGGTCCTCCAGCGATTCTGCCATAAGGATATATATATCGTCGGCAAATCGAAGATGTTTTTGTAGGAGAGGGGGCAAACGAGCATGGGCTCACCTGATGGTAAGTGACTACCGCCGCCCATGAACAACTGTAGCACCAGGGGAACCAGGGGAATTACGGATGCGTTGCCGGCCTTTTAAAAAGAAGTAGGCTCTTTTCTTGAAAAATCGCTGATGGTAATCGATTTCACAAGGAAGTTGTGCGAGGAAGAAAACATCTTCTAAATCGTACAGTGGAGGACCGCCAATCATCCAGATGGTGTGGATGGTATCAGGAGTTCTGCCGCAATGTGCGTTCGTGAAATTTGGCGGCTGGCATTAATCCGAACAATTCCTCAGAGCAATCCCCGTGTAAAATGCGAAAGAAAATGCAAAGGGATGCAACATTTCTTCGCGGCGCCAATGAACCGAGCCGATCTGAAAGGACTCGGTCGTCGACGATTCGAGCCGATCTGCGCTGGATGCGGTCAAGTGGAAGGAGCTGGCACTGGGGTGTCCCGGCCCAGAGATAGGAACAGTATTCCATGTAAGGCCGAACCTGCGCCTTGTAAAGTTGCAGGCGTTGTGCCGGCATGAAATACTGTCCCGTTCTGCTGAGTACGCCAAGCTTTTTAGAGGCCAATTTGGCCTTCTCTTCTGCACGAAACTGCACGTCACTCGATATGTCGACGCCGAGGATTCCGATACTGTCTGAGACAACAAGGGGAGCGCCTTGAAACTGAGACGACAAAGGGGTTTTTTTAGCGGTAAACGCGCAAACTTGTGTCTTCGGAAGATTAAACTGGACTAGTTTAGTCTCCCCCAATCCGAGACTTTGTTCAGCAAAGACTCGACTTCAGACACAAGTTTGTTCTGGTACTCGGCGACGTTTTCCCGCGAAATATTGGCACGGCCGGTGTATAGAGCATCACCAGTGCTGTCATCCGCATATCAATGAATGTTACCAGTTAGCAACATATCATTGATATGCAAAACGCACATAGCACAAAGCCTTGTGGAACACCAGCATTAATATGCTTGTAATCGGAGCACGCACCGTCTACTACGACCTTGATTCTATACTTCTTTTTAAGAGCGCTGGTGTTTACATCCCGAGTCACCGAAGCCGCAGCCCAGGCTTGATAACACTCCTGCTTACTGCTTAATGCAGTCTTACAGGAGCGACCAAACCAAGGCTGAGATCTACCTCCGATGGGTACCACAGATGATGGAATAAATAGTACCATCCCCTGTAGTACCACATCAGAGACAGAGTCATCAATAGCGCTGAGATCATCCGGCGAGATGCAAACTCGCCCCCATGGGTAGGATGCAAAGGGAGACCGCATTCCGTCCCAATCCGCCGACCTGTAATGCCAAACACGGCGGCAACCTGCAGACCACAACCGCGAGAGGGAGCATAAGTGGCACCACACTCCGGATCAGACAATAGTCCGAAGAGCCGAGAGGGGCATCGACGGAAACCTGATATCCGTCCGGATGAGAGGTCAGCAGAAGGTCAAACAGGGAAGGTTTATGATCATCCACATCTGGACTCCGCGTAGGCGAAGTAACCAGTTGTGTCAGACCATATGCCAAGGCAAAATCATAAATAGATCTACCCGCATGATCGGTTAAACGTGAACCGAGCCATTCGGCGTGGTGGACGTTAAAATCGCCAAGGATCACGATCTCTGCGGATTGTAGCAAGGAATCTGTAGCCATTTGGGCGTGGTCGATGAGTCGGTCTGTTTCGGCATTACCGCTATGGGACCTACAGAAGCACCCGTAGACGCGCGGATGGTCGTCACTGTCTACGCGTAGACAAATGATGGACAGGGCCGAACCTTCAAGACTGCCGAGGCGTCGAGAACAGATGTCCTCTCTGACGTATACGCAAACTCCAGCCCGAGGCACAAAGGAGTGCTCCAATTTGTACCCCGGGTAGGAGAGATACGAAGTATCAGCCGGAGAGGACACCTGCGTCTCGGTCAGAAAGACCAAGGCCGACTTCGTCGTCTCGAGATGGTAGTGGACGGCGTTTAGGTTCGAGTGAAGTCTCCTGATGTTGCAAAAATTCACGGATAGCGTGGCAGGGGTCGCCTTGGTATGGTTGCTCAGTTTGCTCCGAGCAGTTATGTTTTTGAGCGGAATTTTGCCCCCCCCCCCCTCACAGTATACGCGGAGCAGCCTGAGCACCCACGCTCCGGAGTGGAATAACATGGTCGTGGATGCTCAGCGAGGGATTCTTCAGAGGTGCTGGTACCCTCCTGGGGTAGTCTTTGACGTCATTCCGTTACCATGTAATACCGAGCCGGCTCGAGCCGGCCCATACGTGCAACAGCAAAAACTGCCGCGTGGCTGTACCACTGTTAAAAATAATGGTGATTGAGGTATGATCACTAATCAGTTAATATATTTTATATCTGTTCTACTATTAATAGACTTCTTTGGAAATTATGATTTACTATAGTAAATGTAGATGCATTATAATTTGTGTTTTTATCCTTACATAACCATTTCGAAATATCTTTCTTACTATATAACATGTGTAGGTAATGTTATAAATGTACATATTATCCCTGAGTCATCTTGGCTTTAAGCATATTACTCAAATGGTATTTGAGATGTATACACACAATCAATCAATACTTGTAAAAAATAGTATCCATACCACAATTGTGCACAGACAGGCACAATATTTTGCCGAAACTACTAAAAAGATTTTCCATCGATCTTAAAGTACATATAAATGCTGAATAATACCGGTGAAAACTAATAGATGATCGCTTTTAGTTTGTTTTTAGGTTATAGTAAGATACATATTTTATTTGCTAATTTCTTAGTACTCCGTTTAGATTCCGTAAAACTAATATTACCATTGTAATCTATAGATTATAAGAAATAAATCGACATGCATTTCATTAAGGGTAGTTAAAATTTATGGTGGGCTCATTCTCCATACAAAAGAAAATATCTTCTTTATTACTGAATAAATTCAATAATATAAAATATAAAAAAAACATATGTGCAGTTAGTTCACACGTGGTAGAAGTGAAACTTTCAGAAAACTAAACTTCAAGAGAATGAGACGAATGTAGAGTATCAGGGGTAGGATAATTTATTTATTATAATATTATTACCGGGTTTCAAAATTATGTGTTACATTATATATGTCTTAATATATTATAGATAAAAGGAAACACTATTTACTGTGTTCTATCTCATTCTCTCGCAGGCTAAATCCTACCAGATCTATATGTTTGTCTTATTTTAGTGTCTCTTTTTCGTTATAACGAGTTTCAAATCATTACGATTCTAAAAAAGATTTACTTCAATAAAAAAAAAATTATAATATAAGCATGCGTAAATGCGATAAAAACAACAATTTCAGAAACCGTGTACAGTTTAGAATGTCGCATTAGTAGTTTAGACAGTTCGACACCTAGCTATGATCGTGGATAGAAAAGGTAAAAGCACATGCATGAGGTGAGTAACGTTCAACGAGTGTGGCACCTGTATGTGATGGTGAGCGAGGTGGGCGGGGCCAGGCTGGGGGCGGTGTGGGCGGCGTGGGCGGCGCCGCTGGGCAGGAAGGCGGGCGGCACGCGCAGGCGGTAGGCCAGCGTGGTGTTGGCGCCGTCGAACGTCGCGTTCGACACGCACTCGTACCTGCGCCGCACCTCACGTTACACCACGCGCACGCAACTACCCACTACACCACGTCTTCATAATCATACGTGCTACGCCCACGCTGCAGCCATATTATGCTTGTAGCACGAATGACTCGGCTGGACCGAGGGAAGTACCCACAACCGTATGGTGAATATAGAGAACCGACGAACCTTTTTACTGGAAATGAGGCATTCCATCTAAGTCCTCAGGTGTCAGCATTTTGATTTTTAATCAAGGATAAATGTAAATGTCTATGGGCCAGAATATCCACTTATCGTCAAGTGGACTGTATGCTCGTTTGTCACACTTATTCTATAAAAAAAAATGTCAATAACGGCTAATAATATTACGTCACAAAGTCACAGACTCACATCATTCAAAATTTATTATTAAATTACCTTTTACCATGGTACAGACCACAGATACACAAAAACGCTTTCACCAATTAAATGGAAGCATTTTGATCATGATCACGACTGTATGATCTTAGATCGTACATAATATTACAAACGTTTATTTATGGTACGTCGATAAAAAAAATGTTTAACATACGAAGTACAAAAATGAAGTTATAAAAACAATGTAAGCTTTACGAACAACGACGTCAAATCAACAAAATATTGCAAAACTTGTCATATTTTGTCAAGACTATTAAGATAAAAATAAATAAATAGTAACATTAACGTATCAGTAACATACTCACCCACCGTCCAGGTTGCGACAGTGTGAATTGAGAGGACAACCTTGTAACTGACAGAATTCCACTTCTGCACATTGCTTGCCTTTGTAACCACGGGGACATGAACATCTGTAAAATTTGTGTTAAAATTAGTGCATTTGAAAACTAAAAATATGTATATAAAATTATTTTTGTCTAGGTACATAAATTTATTTTATATAATAAGTGCTAAGTAGCTATTTCCGGCATACGTTTTAATGCTTCTGGCATCGTGTGCGCTAACAACTCATCAAAGTTTCATCTTAATTGGAAGAATGATATAGAAGCGCCTAGAAGACGAGTGAATAAAGCAAGTTAACAGTTTATCCAGCCCGAAGGACCAAACAAAGAAATTAAAAAAAGAAATAAAATAGCAAAAGCGTATCGTTGTCTATCCATCCATTATAGCTTATAAAGTTCACTGCTGAACATAGGTTGCCATGCTTGGCAAGCTGGTTGGCAATCACAGTTTTTTTATTGTTTCGATTTATCAGGAAGATACTGGTAACCGTCACCTGTTTCGATTTGCCCCTGTCACCAATTACGACACCCAAGGGATGATATGGAGAAGTGGATATTCTTACACCGTCACTGCTGTCGACAAACCTCAGTTGTTATCGCATGCGGAGGAGTAAATATCTTAGTTACGTGTGCACTTACAACACAATAAAATCTTTTTATGTATCCTGATGATGCCGTGAGGCGAAACCGGTCGGTTTTTATAATTCGTATAATAATTATTTATAAGAAATATTGTGAAACAAGTACAAGTGTTTACCCAAATCACAAAAATGAAGCTGGAGTTTCACCAGGTGACAACAAGCGCAAGTAAATTTATACAATAATGGCTCCTGTTAGTGTTAGTTAAAAGAAATAAAGTTTTACGGATTTTATTCCGTATATTAACTTATTTTTAATTCCCGACATTTCGAGTACTCTACAGCACCCATGGTCACGAAGTGACTGATGTGTTCGACGTCCCAATGCCATAGTTAACCACGGCTACTTTCAGTTTCAAATTATTAATTTTTGGTGTGATGAACGCAGTATGAACTTATAGAACTTATCCTAAAGTCTTGCAGTATGGTTATACGCTTCAGTTGTGATTTTATTTTATTAATTATGGGATCTCGAGCAGATGGTAGAGCATAGCAATATTCTCTATTGAAATTAGGATGTTTTTCGATGTCTATTGCCTTAAGAATTATCCTTGGAGTAAATCGGTGTTCTTTAGCGAGGATTCGTTGGTGTATCAAATCTGATGTAGTGACAGGGGACGATCCTGTACGTGTTGACAGACGCTTATCTTCTGACAGTGTATGTGTGCGTGTGTGCTCACGTGTAGTCATTCCAGGTGTTGGTGCAGGTGGCGTTGTGCAGGCAGGGCTGCGAGGCGCACACGTCGTCGGACACGACGCCCTGCAGCACGCCGGCCGGGTCGAACGACACCTCGCCGAACGCCGGCGGCAGCTGCAGCCCCTCCGCCACCAGCGGGAAGAACTCCACCACCCACACCTGCGCGCCGTTCGACACCTGCAACGTCGTCCCGCACCCTCACTCTACTTCTACTCGTACATCCATGTACATTTTATAAACATTATTTTGACTTTACCTCCTTATTTATAAAAATAAAACTTTACGTAAATGAATTATGAATGGACTATCTTTCGCTATGTTTTATTGTTTACTAGCTGATACCCGCGACTTCGTCCAAGTTCCTAGAATTGACAAAGTTTTCGTATGTGCGAACGAAAAAACATCAAAAAGATCGAAAGCAAAAATATACTTTGCTTACAAAATTTCCTTGTAAACAATGTATACTATTTCATAGTATCCATGGTTCAAATAGTTTCGTTCCGTTATTGGTATCGAAGCCTGTGTAATGAGCTACACTGTCAGTTGTCGGCCGGGCGAGCGGACGTATGTACTTAGCGGTGTAAGGGTAATCAGAAAGCAAAAGCGCGGAAAGACGCGTGACAAAGTACCTTACCGAGTGACCCTTACGAATGTGTACATGCGTAAAATATAGTAGGTGTTAGATATTTATGAATGATAATCAGTTAAAATAATGATTTACCACGCATTCTGAACTTAAAAGATAAAAATGACAGAATGTTTGAGTTTTTTTTCACCATTCGCCTATTTTACTTATTCTGAACCTTCTCTGCAAATTTGTCCGTATATTGGAAAATAACCCTGTAGGTACGAGGGTGACACTGAAAGTTCTTAGAAAATCAAAATGTACACTTGACTCATACCGATGCCTAAGTTTATCCAAATCTGCTGATAAGTCACTCTTTTGTCAGACTCTATCATACGCCGCACAACACTGATGTTATCTTCAGTCGTCGCTGTAGAAGGCCGTCCCTTACGCAGATCATTGGTGAGATTAGTGCGACCACGTTTAAACTCATTAAACCAGTTGTAAACAGTGGCACGAGATAGGGCTTCATCGTGAAAGGTCAATCGAAGTCTATCATTGTTGATTTAAATGACATCGAAAGTCATAAAAAATAATTGTACGAAAATGTTCTCGCGTTAAATTCATGCTGACGTGGCACAGACAATTTTCAATTTGCCGCCAAATCGTAAACCAATGACAAAAATAAATAAAATACATACACATAAATATTAGTAAAGAGTTCCATTTTCAAAATTTGGACTTATATATATCATTATGTCGTTTACAAGTGGCCAGATCAAAAAACTTTGTCGCAACAGTGTCGCCCTCGTATATGTATGTATTTGCTCATAATATAGTTTCTAAACTATGACTGGCAGAAAATATCTGTGGGCATTAAGTCCACCTAAAGTATTTTTTTATAAATATACAGTCTGCACAGCGGACTTTGAAAACTCACTTGAACATCTTGTATGACACCCTTAAAGTAGTCGGGATCGTCTTGCGGCGGCGCTTGCGTAGTGGGCTCCGGGGTCGACGACTCGAGAGCAGGGGGCATCGGGGACAGCGGAGACAGCGGGGCAGCGGGGGACGCGGGACCGACGGGGACGCCAGCGGGGACGGCGGAGGCGGGGACGTCAGCGGAGAGGGGGGAGGCAGGGACAGTGGAGGCGGGGGAGGCGGGGACGGGGGAGGCTGGGGAGGCGGGGACGGGGGAAGCGGAGGAGGCAGGGGACGACAGGGCAGCGGGCACTGGCAGTGCTGACACCTCCTCCATCGGCGGGGGCCCGCCCAGGTACAGCACCTGCCATGCAACAACATTGAGAATCTTACTTTATCATTTTAAAAGTTCATAATAACTAACATACTAAACTAAACAACAGATCGAAGAGGAAATTATAAATATTGCCTTGGAACTGATAAATATAGCAACATCTTAATATATTATTCTATAATTTTTAGTATAGAAATTCGAGAAGATCTTCCTGACCTATATTTTGTCCTAAAATGCGTGTGTAATCTTACAACTTTATTACATGAAGAATAGTATTACGGCTTGAAATAACTTTCAAAATGTATTCACAAACAAACGACAGTTAATCATAAATTACCACAATTATCAATATAGGCAGAATAACAAATTAGACATGACATTTTATAATAGGGAAGTTGTTCCGCCATTTCTCGGAAGTTACAAAACTTTTGAGACTTTTCTTAGCCACCTTCACATAAACAAATCAAGCATATATGCAATTAAAACTACATTAAAAATAGAGCAAAAAAATTCTTACTTGTGCGTCGAGCTGTCTTGCAGCAGATATAGATTTCCTGAAGTACTCAGTGCCGTTCAGTTTCACTTGCACTAAAGTTGAATTTCTGACCACCTGTACAAAAATATATTTTGTCAATACCATGACAGATAAACTAAACAAACACTAAGTTAACAGCAAAAGCAAAGAAAATATAGTATTAGCTTATAAATTATTAGATGGAGACCTAATCCTTTTAACCCAACTGCCCTGGAAGGAGGTTAATTTTGTTTTCGAGAGTATTTCTATTTCTTTAGCACCCTCTGTGGCCTAAACGGCTTGATGGATTTTAAGATATGGGATATCGTTAGGTTCGACTTAGTTTTGGAAGTGATAAGATATAAAATATTTCTCTTTTCAGTAATTATTTTCACGCAGTTGGGTTAATTACTGTTTTAACCTTAAAGTTTGTTCTGTCCGTTGAATAAATTTAGTTTTAAGGATTAAGTCAATCCAATACCAAAGGTGGCATACCTCGATAAGGTGCATGTATCCATTGTCGAGCCTTGTTCCTCCAACCGTGTAGTTTTCAGGCGTCTGGTTGAAGCGTAAGTGCAATAGTAGTTCACCGCCATTCAGCGATGCACCCACTAGCGTCTCGTCCGTTTGACCGAATCTATACAACGACATTTTTTTATTATAGGTATGTTAAGTAGAGTGTTTGGTTAATATATATATATATATATAATAAGTAAAGCGTACGATAACTGAGTTATTATATGTTTTTTTAAACTTCAATGTTTTTAAACAGATTGAATACTGAGGTTTTAGATGAAAATCTAAACCATAGATTTAAAAAAAATTAAGTTCATTTTAACTTAGTGACTTGATGGTAGGAGCTGCTAGCTCAACTGTACTTTAAATGTAGTTTGTATAATGAAAATTTTGATACAAAATTAATTTTACAATAGTTTTTATTAATTCTTTATATATACATTACCTCTGATATGAAATAAGAGGAAATGACAGAATGTGCTCAGGTTTATTCTGTTTCCGAGAATGTTTTGAATTTTTTTTGTAATTTATGTCTATTAGAATGTGAAATAAAAAAAAACATGCGTGAGTGTCGCGGAACACTCGGTTGGAACAAACTTACTTTCGTAGTATATTATCTATACTAATATAATAATGCGGAAGAGTTTTTTTTTGTTTGTTTAAACGCGCTAATCTCTGGAACTACTAGTCCGATTTGAAAAATTCTTTTTGTATATAATAGCCAGATTCATGAGAAATAGTAAAGACTATCTAGCATTAGCCTACAACTCTCAGCTAGCCTTAAATATTGATTTTTGTTAAGCAAGTCTGAAGAAAAGGCGCTCTCTAACTGCTTTACCCGCGTGCGCTGGCGTAACGTTTAGTATTACATAAATACAATGTTCTACTAAAATATTGGTCTTTGCTCCACCTAAAAAAAGTCCGTGCTACCATATGCCTATTTCTTACACATAAGCCACAATAAGGTATTTTGTGAGAAAAAATTATTGAAAATTAAAAAGTGATTTATGAGCGTTAATATTAGGAATGGCATATTAATCCTTACGAACGAAAGTTACTTCATCATCAAGAGAATTTTATGAAGATAAACTTTGCTCTTTATAGCATGTTATTTGGACGCATAGTTTAAGAGATAATGAAAAATTAATATATTAACACTCTGCTCGGAGCGCGAACGATCGCATGAACCCTAGATCCGTAAGAAACCAGCAGTGAACGCCTATATATAAGCGAGCTGTCATTTCGTGCAGCTTAGATGCATTAACGGCCCTTTTTGTTACAGACTTCGCTTGGACAGTGTAATAATACGCGGGTGAAACCGCGGGGCACAGCTAGTTATTGATAAACGTATTATATTATTGATTAAAAAAATAGAAATAAATTAATTACTAGCGTATATTAAAATGAAGCATCATTTAAATAAAATAATATTTCTCTCATGTGCGAGGGAAATGGATATAACTCTATCTCGCTTCTTTATAGCCGCGTAAGGCCGTCTACACTACGTCAGAAGTGGTTGTGACGGAAAAATCTTACACTTTTTCTAGCCTAGCCCCCATCCGCCAAATTCGTACGGTCTGATAAGGAATTTTGTTCCAATAATCATTTCGTAATAAAATTATCACCTTTCTATAGATTTCATTAGAGTTACTTAGTATTTAGTTAATATAGCAGTATTATAATTAATATGAGGGGACTATAGAAAATTTCAGAAAAGTCAAATGGTTTTTCTAGATGGCGTTTTATTCGTTTCGTTTATGTAAGATGTAAAATATTTAGATCGGAGACGGGTAGCGATCTGAAAAGTTGAGTTGTTTGGTATTGCGGTCATCAATTTGAATTCCAAGTGTTACGCTTTATTAAGGTATAAACTGTACTTTTTACCTTTTATTCATATTATATAACGTGGGAGGTACAGTTTAGTAGTGAATTTTTACGAACTGATAGAGTAATTATACTAGTGTAAAGTAAAGTAATATTACATGTTAGAAAATATTCAAATTTAAAGGTATTCGTAATGCTATTCTGTCTTAGTTGATATGTGAGAGTGAATTTAAATTTTAAAATTTTAACGAGATTGATGTTGGTGTGAAGGGCCATAGCACACATTAATTATTAGGTTAAATAATAGGGTATTTTACACCATGTAAAAAAAATCAAAGATTATATATTTATAATTTTGTAAAAACTAAACGAGAAATATTGATTTCTATTTATAAAAATGCATTATAAATTTTATATTTAAATTTAAAGAAATTTTTTTTTACCTGTGCCTCAAATCTGTAAAATGATGTCCGCCATATTAGATAGTGTCGTGACGTCACTAGGTCAAAGAATTAGGTTATGTGCTGTGTACTATCAAGTTATCATTACGATTGTTGACTTTTATTCTGAATTTTATTGAAAAGGCATCATGGAAGACGGATTCGTAAAAGCGAGTTTATTACTTCGCTTTTAGCACTAATGTTATAAATATTATAATAAAAGCTTAGGTAAACTTTTTGTTATATTATTTTGTACAAACGCTCAGACGAAATAAAAAGTCATATTTTTATTTGGTTTGAGTACAAACCATGTCTTTATTCCCATATAATAGAAGAAAACAGGAATTAAGTAATATACTGCACTGCACTGCACTTGCAAGGGCTATCAAAATGGCCCACAAAGGGTGGGATAGACGAGCGATTAACCTAATCTATTACAAAATTTGACTTGCAATAGGTACCTATCATGTCATGATGTTTTGTTTTGTTTAATCGATAGTTAAATATAAGTCATACTTATATCAAAGTGATCTTCATAGAAGTATAGTTTAGATTTTGTAGACAATGCCTTCGGGTCTCTTCTTGCCAGTTACCAAGTATTTCTCATATTTAAATTAGTTGGCACTTTAATCCATAACTTCCCTGGTGTTCTTATGCTCGTATTTTTGCAATCAGGTAAACATAACAATGATATAGATGATAAATCATTATTATTAACATTCAAAAGTATCTTATTCCTTTGCAAAATTGTGAAAATTCTAGGACAGTGACGTCACGAGTTGAATTGTATGGCGGCTAGCGTTTTCACGCAAAAATTTTAAAACGATAGATTAAAAGTAATTTTTATGGCACTGTTCGGTTTTAAAAAAAATATATAAAAATTATAGTGGTTCATTATAACTTTAGGATTCATTTAAAACACTTTTTGAAAATGGGTGTTTTGTATCCTTATTTAATAAAAAATTCGGAGATAAATAATTTTCGTGTCACGCTTGGCGATTAAAGCGAATGGTTTGTTTTATAATTTAATGTGTTGGTGTGTACGTATGTGTGTAGGTGTAATGCGTGGGCTTGTGTACGTGTTTTGCGTATGTTTGTGGTGTGTTGTGCGTATGTATATAAGTTAGTGTGTGCGAGGGTGTGTGAAGGTGTATTGTGCAGGTGTTGTGTGCAGGTGTTGTGTGTAGGTGTCGGTGTATGTGTACCTGGGGCCCGAGCCGAGGTGGAAGATCTGTCCGGTGGGCTTGTGCGTGCGTATGAACATGGAGATGTGCAGCGCGGCGAGCAGGTGCGTACCTGGGGCCCGAGCCGAGGTAGAAGATCTGTCCGGTGGGCTTGCGCGTGCGTATGAACATGGAGATGTGCAGCGCGGCGAGCAGGTGCGTACCTGGGGCCCGAGCCGAGGTAGAAGATCTGTCCGGTGGGCTTGCGCGTGCGTATGAACATGGAGATGTGCAGCGCGGCGAGCAGGTGCGTACCTGGCGCCCGAGCCGAGGTAGAAGATCTGTCCGGTGGGCTTGCGCGTGCGTATGAACATGGAGATGTGCAGCGCGGCGAGCAGGTGCGTACCTGGCGCCCGAGCCGAGGTAGAAGATCTGTCCGGTGGGCTTGCGCGTGCGTATGAACATGGAGATGTGCAGCGCGGCGAGCAGGTGCGTACCTGGCGCCCGAGCCGAGGTAGAAGATCTGTCCGGTGGGCTTGCGCGTGCGTATGAACATGGAGATGTGCAGCGCGGCGAGCAGGTGCGTACCTGGCGCCCGAGCCGAGGTAGAAGATCTGTCCGGTGGGCTTGCGCGTGCGTATGAACATGGAGATGTGCCGCGCGGCGAGCAGGTGCGTACCTGGCGCCCGAGCCGAGGTAGAAGATCTGTCCGGTGGGCTTGCGCGTGCGTATGAACATGGAGATGTGCAGCGCGGCGAGCAGGTGCGTACCTGGCGCCCGAGCCGAGGTAGAAGATCTGTCCGGTGGGCTTGCGCGTGCGTATGAACATGGAGATGTGCAGCGCGGCGAGCAGGTGCGTACCTGGCGCCCGAGCCGAGGTAGAAGATCTGTCCGGTGGGCTTGCGCGTGCGTATGAACATGGAGATGTGCAGCGCGGCGAGCAGGTGCGTACCTGGCGCCCGAGCCGAGGTAGAAGATCTGTCCGGTGGGCTTGCGCGTGCGTATGAACATGGAGATGTGCAGCGCGGCGAGCAGGTGCGTACCTGGCGCCCGAGCCGAGGTAGAAGATCTGTCCGGTGGGCTTGCGCGTGCGTATGAACATGGAGATGTGCAGCGCGGCGAGCAGGTGCGTACCTGGCGCCCGAGCCGAGGTAGAAGATCTGTCCGGTGGGCTTGCGCGTGCGTATGAACATGGAGATGTGCAGCGCGGCGAGCAGGTGCGTACCTGGCGCCCGAGCCGAGGTAGAAGATCTGTCCGGTGGGCTTGCGCGTGCGTATGAACATGGAGATGTGCAGCGCGGCGAGCAGGTGCGTACCTGGCGCCCGAGCCGAGGTAGAAGATCTGTCCGGTGGGCTTGCGCGTGCGTATGAACATGGAGATGTGCCGCGCGGCGAGCAGGTGCGTACCTGGCGCCCGAGCCGAGGTAGAAGATCTGTCCGGTGGGCTTGCGCGTGCGTATGAACATGGAGATGTGCAGCGCGGCGAGCAGGTGCGTACCTGGCGCCCGAGCCGAGGTAGAAGATCTGTCCGGTGGGCTTGCGCGTGCGTATGAACATGGAGATGTGCAGCGCGGCGAGCAGGTGCGTACCTGGCGCCCGAGCCGAGGTAGAAGATCTGTCCGGTGGGCTTGCGCGTGCGTATGAACATGGAGATGTGCAGCGCGGCGAGCAGGTGCGTACCTGGCGCCCGAGCCGAGGTAGAAGATCTGTCCGGTGGGCTTGCGCGTGCGTATGAACATGGAGATGTGCAGCGCGGCGAGCAGGTGCGTACCTGGCGCCCGAGCCGAGGTAGAAGATCTGTCCGGTGGGCTTGCGCGTGCGTATGAACATGGAGATGTGCAGCGCGGCGAGCAGGTGCGTACCTGGCGCCCGAGCCGAGGTAGAAGATCTGTCCGGTGGGCTTGCGCGTGCGTATGAACATGGAGATGTGCAGCGCGGCGAGCAGGTGCGTACCTGGCGCCCGAGCCGAGGTAGAAGATCTGTCCGGTGGGCTTGCGCGTGCGTATGAACATGGAGATGTGCAGCGCGGCGAGCAGGTGCGTACCTGGCGCCCGAGCCGAGGTAGAAGATCTGTCCGGTGGGCTTGCGCGTGCGTATGAACATGGAGATGTGCAGCGCGGCGAGCACGGCGCGGCGCGCGTGCGGCGCCACGCGCACGCGCACGGCGCAGCGGGCGCGCGCGCGCTCGTGCGCGAACGTGGCGGGCGCCAGCGTGTGCTGGCACGTGCGCAGGTGCGTACCTGGGGCCCGAGCCGAGGTAGAAGATCTGTCCGGTGGGCTTGCGCGTGCGTATGAACATGGAGATGTGCAGCGCGGCGAGCACGGCGCGGCGCGCGTGCGGCGCCACGCGCACGCGCACGGCGCAGCGGGCGCGCGCGCGCTCGTGCGCGAACGTGGCGGGCGCCAGCGTGTGCTGGCACGTGCGCAGGTGCGTACCTGGGGCCCGAGCCGAGGTAGAAGATCTGTCCGGTGGGCTTGCGCGTGCGTATGAACATGGAGATGTGCAGCGCGGCGAGCACGGCGCGGCGCGCGTGCGGCGCCACGCGCACGCGCACGGCGCAGCGGGCGCGCGCGCGCTCGTGCGCGAACGTGGCGGGCGCCAGCGTGTGCTGGCACGTGCGCAGGTGCGTACCTGGGGCCCGAGCCGAGGTAGAAGATCTGTCCGGTGGGCTTGCGCGTGCGTATGAACATGGAGATGTGCAGCGCGGCGAGCACGGCGCGGCGCGCGTGCGGCGCCACGCGCACGCGCACGGCGCAGCGGGCGCGCGCGCGCTCGTGCGCGAACGTGGCGGGCGCCAGCGTGTGCTGGCACGTGCGCAGGTGCGTACCTGGGGCCCGAGCCGAGGTAGAAGATCTGTCCGGTGGGCTTGCGCGTGCGTATGAACATGGAGATGTGCAGCGCGGCGAGCACGGCGCGGCGCGCGTGCGGCGCCACGCGCACGCGCACGGCGCAGCGGGCGCGCGCGCGCTCGTGCGCGAACGTGGCGGGCGCCAGCGTGTGCTGGCACGTGCGCAGGTGCGTACCTGGGGCCCGAGCCGAGGTAGAAGATCTGTCCGGTGGGCTTGCGCGTGCGTATGAACATGGAGATGTGCAGCGCGGCGAGCACGGCGCGGCGCGCGTGCGGCGCCACGCGCACGCGCACGGCGCAGCGGGCGCGCGCGCGCTCGTGCGCGAACGTGGCGGGCGCCAGCGTGTGCTGGCACGTGCGCAGGTGCGTACCTGGGGCCCGAGCCGAGGTAGAAGATCTGTCCGGTGGGCTTGCGCGTGCGTATGAACATGGAGATGTGCAGCGCGGCGAGCACGGCGCGGCGCGCGTGCGGCGCCACGCGCACGCGCACGGCGCAGCGGGCGCGCGCGCGCTCGTGCGCGAACGTGGCGGGCGCCAGCGTGTGCTGGCACGTGGCGCCCAGGTGCGGCCGCGCGCACGTGCACACGAAGCGCGACCACGCGTCCTCGCACAGCCCGCCCCACCTGCGCACACCGACCACCGCCCGCACACACCTCAGCTTGCTTCAGATCTACCAGCACATAACGCACCAGACACCGCACAGACAACACTTTTCACATCTTACGCACCCGGCATGATATCATACCAAACATACACATTATACCAAAATATATATTACACACCCGCAGACACGCACCAGCACAAACAAAACATTCTTGTTGAAAATGCTGGCCAGTGCCAAACCGTGTCTGCGCGAACACGCTCCGCTTGCGTGCACTAAATATGAATATATCTATATATAATGTATAAAAGAATATTATTTTGTCTGCCACGCCACGTATATAGCACGCTCAATGTCTGTAGATCTGAACGAAGCTTTATACGTACTACAAACGTGCCACACCTATACTGTACTTATACCACTAATGACCGGGATACAACTACACGCTTACAGACCGCCAGCGTAAACTGGCAACTTAATGCTGCTGTATTTTGTATAGTAAGTACTGAGCACCAAAAGCCCTCTTTGCTAAATAATAAACATTTACTAAAGAAGAACGACAACGCATCTGCATTTTAATTCTTAACCAAGTATAGAATAAAATAATTTTTTATTCAATATTAATTATGACATAATTCTTATTGAAAGTCATTTTTTTATGTACCACTGGTTCGGAAAATACTCCAGGGAAGAACCAGCAAGAAACCCAGCGGGATATTTTTCCAAACATCACTTAACAATAATTTCGTTTATACAATTTTAAATGATTTTTCATAGAATCAGCATGGTGGCGATCACCTTATTCTCAGGGGTTATTTTCATTCATGTATTCCTTGATATTATAATAACCCTCTCTGTACAGTTTTTCTTTAATAAAACTTTTAAACTTGTTTATTGACAAACTTACACATTGCCCCATAAATGAATTATTGATTCTGTAGAGTCTAGTAACTGGCATTACAAGCTTATGTTTGTTCCTAGTGTTTAAAGTATGCACATCCTTATTCTTATTAAAGCTATTTATGTTTTTATGTACATACATTACATTTTCATAAATATATTGCGATGCCAAAGTTATTATGTTTATTTCTTTAAATTTTCGTCTGAGGAACTCTTTACAATTTATGTTATAAATCATAACATATAAGTTATAAAAGATTATAAATCACCCGAACAGCTCTCTTTTGCACAACAAATACAGCTTCAATATCAGTCGCATTACCCCATAGCAAAATTCCATAAATCATTACGCTATGAAAGTAACTAAAATAAGCGTATTTTAGTTACTGTGTTAAATGTAGATTAGTCAATGTAGCTGTGAGACTTCTAATCTTTCTTACAGCATAGGCTGTAGAACTAAGTCTGTTTGCTAATTTAGATATATGGGGGCCCCATTGAAGTTTCGCGTCAATAGTAATACCGAGAAAGACAGTGGTATCCACAAGACTCAACTCCTCCCCATTTAACAGCACATTGGTATTCGAATGTTTTACATTAGGTATTGTAAATTTAATACACTTTGTATTATTACAGTTTAAGAGCATATTGTTGGCGTTAAACCAATGTACTAATTTCGATAGAGCATTATTTACATCGTCATAATTAATTAACTGCCGTTTGAGTTTGAAAATTAAAGAGATATCGTCAGCAAATAATGCTATATCGTGATTGTCCCCTACAAGATAAGGTAAGTCATTATTATAGATTAAAAACAGGAATGGGCCAAGAATCGAGCCCTGAGGAACACCCATTGATACTACCCGATCCGGAGGAACCTTTACCATTGATCACGACTTTTTGAGTTCTGTTACTTAAATATGAAGTAATAAGTCTAAGCGCCAAATTTTTTACACCGTAATGTTGTAGTTTCCTGATTAATGTATCATGATGAACACAATCGAAAGCCTTGGAAAAGTCACAGAAAATACCTAAGGCATCTTGTGAATTCTCCCGGGCATTAAAAATATATTTCATAAGCTCAACACCAGCGTCCGACGTCGAGCGACCCCTTGTAAAACCAAATTGGTTTTTATGAAATAATTTATTTGTATTAAAAAAAAATTAACAATTGATCCAAAATAATTTTTTCAAAAATTTTACTGAAAGTTGGTAGTACAGAAATAGGTCTAAAATTAGCGGGGTCCAATGTACTACCAGATTTAAATAAAGGTATTACTTTACTATTCTTCATTAAATCAGGAAACACACCAGAATCGATACAAGTATAAAAAATAATAGCAAGATGAGGTGCAATTAAATCTATTATACGCAATAACTGTAACGGAAATCCCCCACAAATCTGCGGTTTTCTTTACATCAATAGTTTTGAAGTATTTTACAATATCTTGCGATAATACTTTTTCAAATAGATGTAAACATCTATGGGCCACAATATCCATTTACCATCAGGTGGAATGTGTACTCGTTTGGTACTCATTTAATACTCTTATTCTATCAAGAAAATGTATACAATTCACCACGGTAAAAGTATAACCATCAGAAAACTGAACTTCAAAGGATTAATTAAAAATTAAACATTTTGTACAGCCGACTTCAATATAAATTATTAAGAATAACTCAAAAACTATTGGTCCGATCTTGATCAAATTCACATGGGACCACACGAGAAGTAGTAGCTTTCAATTAAAAAAAGGAACATTGAAATCGATTCACCCAGTAAAAAGTTAGGCTTAGCTTTCCATTGACGTCCGTCGATTTGGGGGTTGATACAGAAAGGTTTACAGACAGGTTACATTATTATAAGCACACACGCAAAGTTTCAAAAAAGAGAAATAAATTATTGAAAATCAATTATTTTTGCAATATTTATGGTCAGTTCCTATCGTAAAACTGACGCTATTTTGTATTGTTATTGTCATCGTCAGTAGGGATGTCGATTCTTTCCGAAAAAGATCGATTTTATAAATCGATTCGAATCGTAAGCTGATGTATCGATTCACAAAAAAAACGTATTCTAAAATTTCGATATTTTTTCATGTTTGCATTTATAATGTAAATATAAATCCATTTTATGAGAAAAACATCCCCTTCATCAGAAAAAAAATAGGGGGACTGATTAAGAGGGATTTCTGTATTTATTTTGAGACTGCAACATCTCCGGTGCTGCGGGAAGAGCAGCCTCTACGTCTTTGCGTAACAAATCGCAGGCATCTCTCCTAGCCTCCGCAGCTTCGGCTTGTTGACCGCCTTCGACGACCAGCCTCGGCCGTTCTGGCTCGTCTGATGCCTACGATTTGTTACAGTAGGCGGAGGCTGCTCCCCCTACGCGCCTCCGCCTGTATAAAAACACTCTAGGGGTAGGACAGACTTGTACCAGGCGGAGTCGGGGTCAACCCCCAACTCGACGGATGTCAATGCAAAGTCGTACCAAAAGTTCTGAAGTAAGACACTTAAAACAAACATACAGTCGAATTGAGTACCGTCTTCTTTTTGGAAGTCGGTAGATAAAATGAATGCATAGTATCAGAAATAAAATAATTGTAAAGTTTTTATAAATAAAATATAAACAAATTTCTAATATACACTGTATTTTATAGTCTATCTTATTCTTTCACAACCTAAATTCTATATTTTTTTTATAGGATAGGGTGACAAACGAGCACACAGTGCACCTGATAGTAAGTGGCTGCTGTTACCCATAGACATCTACATTAATCCTCAATAAAGAATCAAAATGCAGATGCGTCACCTGTGACGACTAAGATGGAATGCCTCTTGAGTCTCCGGTTCTCTACACTCACTATACGAAACACAGCAGTGTCATGCTGCCATTTTACGCTGGTATCCTGTAAGAGAGCGTGGTCCTTTCCCAGTGGAGCCGACCCATTCGTGTTACAAATATATTACTAATATAGCTGCAGCATGGCTATACCACGTATCAAAACAATAAATCAATTTTAGAAAACACGACATGCATATTCATAAAAACGGTAGTTATTAAGAGTAATGAAATTAAAGTTATAATACAAGCGACACGTCTCGCTCTCATTGAACAGGTCCCAACAGTACCGGCACGGGTTAGGCGAGCACTGCGCCACGCGCGGGCACGCAGCTGCCACGCCGTGCAGCTCGGCGGCCGCCACGCTCCCGGCCTCTCCCCCCTCCCCCTCCCCCGCCTCCCCGTCCTCCTCCTCCTCGCCGCCAGTCGCCTCCGCCGACGTCGCGTTCGAGTCCTCCGGTAACACCTGCGCACCACACCATCGTCCAAATCAATTGCCATGTAGGAGCTATCATCCCATGGGTAAAAAAAATAATTTAAACAGAAGCGACAAATATAATAAAAAAGTTACGATTGCCGATCCGTTTTACTTTAAAGTAATTTATAGAGAAAGTGAACATTTTGCAATAGACTTTTTAAAGGCTATAATAAACTATCAAAATAATAAAATGCATACAAATTGAAAAAAGTGTTATTATTAAAAATATTATCACGTTTAGCAAGTATGTCTCATTACAATAATCTTAAAGTAATAACCCATAAATGAACAACAAGCTAACCTAAGACAGCTCTTTCTATTAGTAAACTTTACGAAATCAATCTTCACATTTTTTTTATTAGTACATATACCTAAGGACTGTTTTTTTATCTCTGAGACTAAATTGGCACATGCAAATGTCAAATGTTGCCAGCGCTTTTGTGAAGAGTTGCATCGTAATATCGGTTTATTGAATCGTATATTTGAATTTATTAATGTCAATTTCCGATAGTGGCACATCACTATTTAAGAATTTCAAAAAAAAATCGGCAACCCACGTAATGTCACTTTAGTGTCAGAAATAAAAAACAGACTATAATATGTCATCTCCATATTTTCGTAAACCCAAGCCAAACACGTAATAAATTCACACTTAAAACTACAAAGTTAGAACTACAACTATTCAAAGTTAAGACTACAGTTAGTAGGTAACTAATTTTTTTTTAGGTTGCTAATTTTTTTTTTAATTTAATATTTAAATTAATTAATACCATTTGAGGTAACTAACTTGTAGTTCTAATTTTCTAGTAACTAATTTATGTAAGACGAACACGTATCTAATACACAATGATTGACTTTATATTGGAAATGTCATCAGAAAAACTGATATAAAGAGAAGAAAAATACTGAGTTGACATTGGCAGAATTATATTAAGATAAGTTATAAAGTAAAGAAGAAAAAGAGGACGAGAACGAACCCACTGTCCGTTGACCACGACGTCTTGGAAGCAGCCGACGAAGTAGTTGGGTCCGTGCGTGAGCGTGGCGTACGAGGAGCCGGCGGTGCCGAGGCGCGTGGACGGGAATGACGTCACCGACGCGTTGAACGCCTCGTTCTGGCTGATGGGGTAGATGGTCTGCTCCTCGTTGGCCGCCAGCACCAGGTGCGACGAGTTGATCGTCACGAACACCTGCGGACGGACTGCTGCAGTAGTACTATGTAACATTGCAAAAAGGTATCTGGCGATGTGGATGTCATAATAAATAAATAATACATAAATAAATAAAAACCCAACCAGATCACCTCTCGACAGGAAAAACTAAACGGACGAGTGAAAGGGAAAGAAACCGGCGGATGATGCGGGCGGAATCGAGGATCACCGCCTTCTGCATTTGAGCCCTGAGCGGTACAGCACGAAGTCCCATTCGCCTCAGATGACCCGAGAGGCTGGCCAGGATTTTTTTTTATTTATTATTAAAGCTGGCAACAAATAAAAATGTGGACCTTCTGCCAATTGCTGTCGTTGAGGTTGGACCCGATAAAGACGCCCTCCCATTTGTTGAGTAGGCTGGAGTGCAGGTTAAGGCGACCGCTGGACAGCTCCAGGAAGAAGTAGGTGAGGCCGCGGCCCATGGCCAGCAGCCCGTGGCCCAGCGTGGTCTTGAAGCGGAACGACAGGTCGTAGCCCTCCTCACGGGACGTGTTCACCTCAGCGTAGCTGCTGTTCTCCAGCGACATCGTCGTTATCTGTACACGAAGTCACAGTAATTTAAGTCACCGACTTATATAACGGATTAGTAAGCTGAAGTGTAAATGGGCCGGCCATATAACTGGAAAAACCGACAACCGATGGGGAAGAAAGGTTCTCGAGTGGCAGTCTCATAGCGGTAGGCGAAGTGTTGGGTGGTTTCCTACTAAATGGAATGATGACTTTGTAAGGCATGTAGGAAAAATATGGATGCAGGTAGCTCACGATCGTGCTTTGTGGCATTCCTTGGGGGAGGCCTATATTTAGCAGTGGACTTGTGAAGGACTGTAATGATGATGATGATGATTTAGTTATTGTGCAGGCATTTTCGGTTAATCAATTTATAATATGGTTAACTTTTGTTACAGATGCATTGCTAACATGATATAACATGTCGTGTGTCAATAACAAGAACAAAACATACACTCGATTTGAGAATTTCTTCCCTTTTGAGGTAAGTTAGTAAAATCTGATAGTCATGCTGCAGTTATATCATAGACGTAGAACGAATGGATCGGCTCCACCGAGGTACGATCACGCTCTCTGAGAATACCAGTTTAATGCTGCTGAGTTTTGTATGGTCAGTGTTGAGAATCGGAGACCCCTTTTACTGGAATGCCTCATCAACATTTCATGTTAGTCCTCAGGGATGACAGCGCGTTTGCATTTGGATTATTAATCGAGGAAAGATGCAGATGAAACTGGGCTTCCAGTTCCGTGTAAATCCGCTTACCACCAGGTGGACTGTGTGCTCATTTACCACCTTTATTATATAGAGATGTGGTGGGGTACCTTCTCGCAGGTGGTGCCGTAGTGTCCGGGCGTGCAGGAGCAGTTGAAGCGGTGTTCGGTCTCGTGCTGCAGCCAGGGCAGGCAGGTGGCGTTGTGGCGGCACGGCTGGTGACGGCAGCCCTCCAGCACCACCGAGCAGTTGCGCCCGCCCCAGCCCGCCTCGCACACACACAGGTACGCGGCGCGCAGGTCCACGCAGCGCCCGTGCACGCACGGCGTGTACCTGCACACGCACACGCACATGCACACCTACATCCTACTCCTTTTCTAAGGTCCAACCGTATATTTCTGCTGTTAACATTTTATGCACAACAATTTATATTACGCATAGGAATTACTACAATTATATTATAAAAATTGTGTTGTATTTAATGAATTGGGTTGGTGGTGTTGATGAATACGTAATCTACTGCTGCTATTATTATTTCATTTGGTTTATTATCTTGAAATTTCTAATAGTGTTAGACATTATGACAGTCGTTAATAACGGAAACCTAATAGCTGTGGTGCCTCACCGCTGGCACTCGTCGATCTCCAGGTCGCAGTGGTGGCCCTCGTAGCCGGGCGCGCAGAGGCAGGTGTAGCCGCCCACGGCGTCCAGGCACTTGCCGTGGCGGCAGGGCGACGACGCGCACTCGTCCACGTTCACCTCGCAGCGCGCGCCCGCCGTGCCCGCCACGCACACGCACTCGTATCTGCACAACACAATACCTACATATACCGGCTGTTGGTGAAACGCTCTCGAAAACGAAGACAGACGATAGTACTAACGATACCTTTGATGATGGTTCAGAAAGAAATTAGATCCCGAGGAAAAAAATCATCATTTCATACTATTTATTAACTTTATTCACGCTCCATCATGTTAGTACAGCTAAATGAAACGATAATTTCATTAAAAAAAAACATGAAAATACTTAAACATAAAACCAGCAGTGAAACTTAAAATAAAATCAGCTGACAATGGGTCAATATTCTCGCGGACGCCGAACTCTTATCTTGCTCGGTGCGAAACACTAACACACTCTACCCTTCCCTTTCACACACGCCCTACCGCCGCCCGGCCAGCTCGTGTCGCCTCGCGCTGTGAAATTTACACATGTCAGCTTTGCCAACATGTAGGGAATTCCCAAAATTGCGTCGAATTTAAAATTGGTTGGGGATTTTATGGAGATTGGTATAATGCGGGGAAAATACGGGAATTTTGAAAATCGATACCCAGGGCGAAGTCAGAAACTTTTTTCAAGAAATCTAAATACTTATCTTAACATTTTGTTAGGTTACTCATGAATATCGAATGACTCCCTTTTTTTAATTATCTTCATTGGACCACATTTAATTTTCGGATTTATTTCGTCAACTTTTGTGTATCATTTAATGCTTTTCATTTCGTTACTTTTTAATTTTAAAGAAAAAAATGTTAGTTTAAAAGTAAATCTCATAAAATTAGTTAAAAATTGTTTCATTTCTTAAAAGAAAATTGAGGAGAATTTGTGGGGAATCTGTTGAAGCTTTTTTTTTGTTTTGTTTTTTTTTTAAAACGTTACCCCCCCCCCCCCCCCCCCCACCCACACTAGGGTTTTTTCCTGTATCGTGGAGGCAGTTTCCAAACAAAGATTACACGAGGACAAACATACAGACCCGGAACAATTATTTGTAGGCCATACAAATATTTGTTCCGTGCGGGATTCGAACCCGCGCCCCCCAGCGCATCAACTCATTGCTAAGCCACTAGGCCACGGAGCTCCGTTTTGTCCTTAAATTAGGAAATTTAACATGAATTTTCGGGGAATTTGACAAATTGGTGTTGGCCACGCTGCCATGTTGCACCGAAATTTAGCTACTAAGATTTGTTTGATGTCGACATAAGAATTAGAGGCGGTAATCACTATAAAACTTGCACGTAATTTTTAATAATTTTGACGTACCTCTTTTTAAATTCAAAGTATTGGTCGGATTAAATACGGAAAGTCTATTAAAATAAAGTAAAAGTATTATTTTTAACATAAATTCTGATAGATTAATTAACTGTCGATCATAATTGCAATTGATTTTAACTATTAAATTATTCAGTACCATTTTATTTCTATTTTCTTATACAAAATCAAATATAACGATGGAATAGTGTTTACGGTCAGTAGCCTAATAGCAGGGCGCGGACCGCGAACTCGAAAGGTCGTGGGTTCGAATCCGCCATTCGACTACTGTCATCAACCACTTCTAACACAAGCATTTTAAGCTTACCAGAAGTGGTTAAAGGGAATATTAGTAACTTTTATTTAGCATTACTAGTATTTAAAAAAAATATTGTACAAGTGAGTACTTAGTACCCAATTAGGTAAGTTTATTAATTTCAATACAATTTTTGTAGTAAAGAACTGCTTGTTACGTCAGGGTACAATTTATTGTGTAATTGTATTAAAAATGACAACCATAACTTCTAAATTCCATATGAAGACTATTGTGTGCGTGTGTGTGCGTAGGGATAACTAAACTTAAAAATAAAATAAACGTTGGCAATGTCGTAACGGTTTAACGGTTTGTGGAAATGATCAGTGCTTCAAGGACGTTACGACGTACGAGGCAGTTGTTTTGGCGGGATTGATTAATAATTTTAGTTTTTGAAACAGTTCCGTGTTGGCTATCACGTGCGCGTGAGGGTTCAATCGTTTTGTTTATTAAATTCTTGTTACATTTTGTGTTTCTCGTTTTGTTTTAATAATGCCTAACGCGTAGGTACGTTTATAGTGCTCGTGAATACGGCAACATGTTAAAGTGCCTTGAAGAATGTCATAAGGCCACGGAGGATTTAGATCAGTTTACTTAGTACTGAACTCATCTGAATAGGTACATAACTGAATACATCGGAATAATAAACATAACTACACGATGGATAAAAAAGCATGACTCTAAACTTGTTAAAATTTCATTTAAGTAATTTTTTCATTAGCGGGGAATCGAACCAGGTATTTGGTTTACCTATTTAAACTGTGAATTCGAATTAAAGTGGCTAGGTGGAGACAAGCACAGTGGCAAAATAGTAGATAAGTTAGATATTTAGACAAGTGTTGTAAATTATTAGGTATTGTGGTACCATCACTAGGTGCGGGCCGCGCGAATTCGGCGTCCGCGCATACATTGACCTAGCGGTCAATTGATTGTAATTCCACTGCTGGTGTTTAAATATTTTCATGATTTTCTTTTTGAAATTATCGTTTCATTTAGCTGTACTAACATGATGGAGCATTAATAAAGTTAATATAACGTTGTGAAAAGATGACTTTTTTTCCTCGGCATTGAATTTTCTGATCCGTCATCAAAGGTATCGTTAGTACTATCGTCTTCTCCAGCATAAAAGGTGCACTCGGTAGACACAAAGTTGAACCGGCACTGATCGACTGGATAGTTTACATGCTCAGTACACGAATAATAAAGATTGCTGGTGAATCTCAACCAATCCAAATTAAGAAAGGCTGCCCGCAGGGTGGGGTTCTCTCACCTCTCCTGTGGAATATGGTCATTAATGAACTCATCAGCAAATTAAATGACAATCACTTCTATACAGTAGGTTATGCTGATGACCTGACAATACTGGTCTCTGGAAAGACAGCAAGCATAGTGTGCGACCTGACCCAAGCGGCTCTCCGTATAGTGGAGAGATGGTGCAGGGAACACGACTTAACTGTCAATCCAAATAAAACGGTTTTAGTTATGTTTACACAAAAACGAAAGCTGAATAACTATCATCCTCCAAGTCTTTTTAGCACAAAACTCCAGCTATCCACTGAGGTAAAATATTTAGGTCTTACCTTGGACAGCAAACTTAACTGGAATAAACACATAGAAAACAAAATCAACAAAGCTAGTATAACTTTCTGGCAATGCAGAAACATGATTGGCAAAAGATGGGGATTGACGCCAAAAATCATACTGTGGCTTTACAAAACTGTAATTCGGCCCATGATCACATACGGCGCTCTGGTATGGTGGACCAAGACAAATGAAGCCACCATAATTAAAAAGCTTCAGCGCTACCAGAGACTGGCATGTATGGCTGCTACAGGCTGCATGAGAACTACGCCAACAGCAGCCTTAGAAGCGATGCTGGAGCTAACTCCGCTTCATCTACATATACAACAAGAAGCGACTTTAGCTGCCATCAGACTCAAGACCCTAAATCTTTGGAGTAAGAATAGTGTCCCTCATACAGGCATAATTGATAGAATTCACTCAAAAATTCCTATCCTACAAGCCAAATACGATAGGATTCCTAAACAATTTGTTTTCGATAAGAAATACAAGATACAGTTAAATGAAAACAGCCAGCCGGAAGGATTAAGCCCAAAAGAGCTTAGAATTTTCACCGATGGTTCTAAAACAAATGAAGGTGTAGGTTGTGGAGCTTTCTCTGAAGACCTCAATATTCACATATGCACACCGCTGGGTACCTATAACACGGTCTTTCAGGCGGAATGTATGGGTATCATTCAAGCGGCCATAGCAATAGATGCTAGGAAGGTTAATGACTTCCCCATCAGAATACTGACCGACAGTAGGGCGGTACTCCAAGCCCTGAGATGCAATGTGGTGAACTCGGGACTAATATATGAATGCCATCAACGATTAAATGAGGTATGTAAAAACAACAATGTGACCCTGCAATGGATAAAGGGACACAGTGGATCCAGAGGCAACGATGCAGCAGACGAACTTGCCAGAAGAGGATCGGCTTTGGCCACTATAGGGCCGGAACCAATCATACCAATCCCCTTTGGTAACGTTTGTTCACTGGTACGTAGACACTTTACTAATCAACACGCTCAGCTTTGGAAAAATCTAGTAGACTGTAGACAAGCTAGGGATGCCCTGCCTGAAATTAACAGTCGCTTAACAAAAGTTTTAATGAGACTGAACAAGCCGCAGATTAGGATAGTAACAAGTGCTATCACAGGACACGGCACCTTTAACAAACATTTATTTACTATAGGTGTTACAGATAGTCCCCTGTGCAGGGCATGTATGGGGGAGGAAGAAACGGCGGCCCACGTGCTACTGAAATGTCCGGAGGTCGCTACATACAGGGCTAAACATCTCGGCACGCCGGGATCACTCCCCGAAGTTGCATGCAACATCAAGGGCCTGTTGAGCTTCTTCGGAGAGATCTCATGGCTCGAATAATCACATTATTCCTGCCCACACGCAAAATACGCGCATAGACGTGGAGTTGCGGAAAACAGCCCGTCGTAAACTAAACTAAACTAAACTAATCGTCTGTCTTGGTTTTCGGGATCGTTTCACTAATACTTGGTATGTGGCAAATTAACGTACGACATCGTTTTATTTATTTTAAATATCAGCAATGCTATTAACATTACAAAATTCCCTTTAACCACTCCTGGTAAACTTAAAATGCTTGTATTAGGAGCAATTAACGACAGTAGTCTAATGACGGATTTAAGCCTTTGAAGTTCGCGGGCCGCATCATACCATTAGGCAACTATCGCTTAATAAAGGAAGAGAGAGGGAAATGTAAGTGAGTAACAGAAGAGAGGACGTGATACAGGAAGTGGGAAGAACATTACGTTATGCTATACGGTGTAATGTTTTCTAAAACTGTTGAAGACCACTGCTGAACATATTTAGACATTTACACACTTTCCATAAATTACGTCATAGGGGGAATTTTGCTATAGTTACCATGCTTGACAAACGGGTTAATAATCGCAGATTTTATTATTTTAACTTGTCAATTTCCCTGTGGTACCTTTTACGATACCTAGGGTAATGTATTTTTTTTATAGGATAAGGGTGACAAACGAGCACACAGTCCACCTGATGGTAGGTGGTTGCTGCGGCCCATAGACATCTACATCTATCCTCTATTACAAATCAAATTGCAGATGCGTTGTCACCCGTGAGGACTAAGATGGAATGCCTCATTTCCAGTAAAAAGGGCCTCCGGCCACCTGCACTCACCAAGCGAAACGCAGAGGTAAACTTCTACTTCACGCTGGTATTCTGTGAGTATGGTATGTATATTTTTACATCACAATCAATTCAGTATAAATATGTACATTAACGAAAGTGATTGCACAATTGTGGGAGTAGTTTAGCAGTGAGCACGGACCCGCTGGCCGCGTCGAGCGAGAAGGGCTGGTAGAAGCTGGCGGGCAGCAGCATGTGCGGCTGCGGGCCCAGCAGCAGCGGCGGCGCGCCGGGCTCGCGGTACAGGCTGGCGTTGCTGCGCTCCAGGCACACGCCGCCGAACTGGCACGGCGAGCTCTCGCACTCGTTCACGTCCACCTCGCAGTTCTTGCCTGCGCGACACAATACACTACCATTTTCCATTTCCTTTCGCCACCACTGCACACCGATAAATTACTTTATACTATATACTATATAATCTACTAACTAATACTTTAACTAGAGGGTGGGGTTCCTATGCGTTTGTACATATATTTGTGACACAGGAATATTTCCTTATTTTAACTAACATTGTATAAAAAGGATCATTACATATTTTCCTTCGAGTAAAATTTGCAATGTAATAGCGCCATCTACTGTATTCTATAGGTAGAGATATTTTATCGGGCAAAAATTGATTGACTTACAAAGTGATACGTAAAATACACACTTGATGGCCTAAACACGACTCATCTATAGTCTATAGAAACAAATAAAATTGAAGCGTCTGTTTGTAATATCAAAATACCAGCATTTTACTAAATGTATATGAAAGTATATACGGTACTTATAACAAAAACACAATTTTTAAAATTTTTGTCTGTCTGTCCGACTGTTTGTCTGTCTGTTTATTTCGGCTAATCTCCAAAACGGCTGGACCGATTTCGACGTGACTTTCACTGGCAGAGAGCTGATGTTATAAGGAGTAACTTAGGCTACTTATAATTTAGAAAAAGAATTAGGGTTCCGCGCAACATAATTAAAACGTATATATATAGATAAGTAATGAAATCGTAGATTGTTATCAATGGATAATTTTACATATATAGTTATTCTTCTAAATGTTTATTTTAACAGTTAAAGAAATCATCTTTAAAGCGTCACACAAAGAGGAGACCCATATAATAGGAAACACTGTATACTGTATTATATCTTATTCTTTCATAGGCTAAATCCTATAGAAGTACATATTTATCTGTTTTAGTCTTCTTTTCGTTTCATCGAGTTTCAAGTCACATTTCTAAAGAAGTTTTCTCTTCAAAACAATTTTATAATTATCGGCAAACGACTTGAGCATACGCGGGGAACGATAATACGGTGACATTTGAGACGTATGATGCTGTAAACGTCACAAGTGCTCCAATTGTTTGTCCATTGTTATACTTACCGGTGTATTCGAGGTGGCAGGCGCAGCGTTAGTCGTTGAGGTCTGTCTAAAGTCCATAGCATCCACTTACCATCAGGTGGGTTGTGTGTTCGCTTGTCATCCTTACATAAAAAAGCAAATAATGTAGCAGTGTACCTGTGTACCCGGGGTGGCAGGCGCAGCGGTAGTCGTTGAGTTCGTCGATGCAGGTGGCGCCGTGGCGGCAGGGCTGCGACGCGCACTCGTCCACGTCCAGCTCGCACGTGGCGCCCGCGTAGCCCGTGCCCGCGCACGCGCACGAGAACCCGCCCAGCGCGTCCGTGCAGCGCCCGCCGTGCTGGCACGGCTGCGACTGCCGTGCATAGTGCCACACTTACACATGCCCGTTTACCTCGTACTGCTAATAGAGTATACACTACCCCACATTGTCCCATGCGTGAAGTAAGAGGCGACAGAGGGAAACAAATAAGGAGATGGGCAGCAGCATCGTCCTAATAACGGCTAAAAATAAAAAACTGCGGTTGCCAACCCGCCTGCCAAGCATGGCAACTATGGCTAAATTTTCCCCGGTGAGGCAATCAATGAGGCAGACCTGTTCAGCAATGGGCTTTTGTAGACAATGAATGGATGGATGTATCAAATTAGAGCTAATAATCTTACGCTGACCAGATGTCGGTAGGGTGCTCTTATTGTGTATAAATAACGCTAAGTATTTGTCGGCATCACTTTAGTTTGTGAAAAATCTAAGCTCATACAGCCACCATGATTAAGATCGAAATGCTTTCATTTAATTTATCATCATCATCATTATTACAGCCCTTCACAAGTCACCGGTGAACATAGGCAACCCCAAGCAATGTCACAAAGCACGGTCTTGAGCCACCCGCATCCACCGACTTCCTACACAACTTACCAGGTCATCACTCCATCATTTAATCTAATAATAGGTCTTTACCCATGAAATTGCCATTCTGCAGTACTACCCATTTCAAATCAAAATAATTCTTATTTGGTTAAGAATTCTAATTTCAAATTAATTTTATTTTAAAAACATGGAATTCTCTTCTCAAAATTAGTTATTTGTTGGAAGTAAAGACTAGAAATGAGTTGGGGGGTAACTCGAACTTTAAACCTAGTCATTTTGAATAGCCTATCATGTAGAGGATGTCATGGGGATCATAGTTGAATATAGACAATTACACTCCTAGGGGATCAAAATTACCAAAAACCAAAAAATTGGGTTAATTAATATATATGTATGTTAACTTTATTTTACCTGCCTTAATGCTAACATACACAATATATACAGATTACTATATTTTGTGCACATCTATGGTACAGTACCTACCTTTCGAAAGGCGTAAATTTTATTTTTCTTCTTTTATAATAGATATATAATGTAAATATATTGATGTATTTAATTTTTTATATTTTACGGTATACTATTATTATATTTTATTGTGTAGTTTTCTTTTAAATAGTGAAACATATCTTGAATAAGACTAAAACATCTGTACTTTTACCACTTTTTATGTAAATTAAGATTATTATTACAATCATTAATAATGACATAAGCAAAAATTTAATAAACAACACTTGGAAACACATATTTTTAATTGTAAGAAAAAGCTAAATAGAATTCAGTTAAAACATGTGTTAATTACACAATTACGCGTGCAATTGGTTTAGAGTCGACTTTTTTTTTTTTTTTTTTTTTTTTTTTTTTTTTATAGGAGAGGGGGCAAACGAGCATGCGGCTCACCTGATGGTAAGTGACTACCGCCGCCCATGAACAACCGCAACACCAGGGGAATTGCAGATGCGTTGCCGGCCTTTTAAAAAGGAGTAGGCTCTTTTCTTGAAGGTCCCTAAGTCGTATCGGTCCGGAAAAATCGCTGATGGTAATCGATTCCACAAGGAGGTCGTGCGAGGAAGAAAACATCTTCTAAATCGCACAGTGGTGGACCGCCAATCATCCAGATGGTGTGGATGGTATCGGGAGTTCTGCCGCGATGTGCGTTCATGAAATTTGGCGGCAGGGATTAATCCGAACAATTCCTCAGAGCACTCCCCATGGTAGATGCGAAAGAAAATGCAAAGAGATGCAACATCTCTTCGCAGTGCCAATGAATCGAGCCGATCGGAAAGGGCTCGGTCGTCGACGATTCGAGCCGCTCTGCGCTGGATGCGGTCAAGTGGAAGGAGCTGGCACTGGGGAGCCCCTGCCCAGAGATGGGAACAGTATTCCATGTGAGGCCGAACCTGCGCCTTGTAAAGTTGCAGGCGGTGTGCCGGCATGAAATACTGTCCCGCTCTGCTGAGCACGCCAAGCTTTTTAGAGGCCAATTTGGCCTTCTCTTCCAAGTGACCACGAAACTGCACGTCACTCGATATGTCGACTCCGAGGATACCGATACTGGCTGAGGCAAGAAGGGGAGTGCCTTGAAACTGAGGAGATGCGACAAAGGGGTTCTTTTTAGCGGTAAACGCGCAAACTTGTGTCTTCTGAGGATTAAACTGGACTAGATTTAGTCGCCCCCAATCCGAGACTTTGTCCAGCAAAGACTCGACTTCAGACACAAGTTTGTTCCGGTACTCGGCGACGTTTTCCCGAGAAATATTGGCCCGGCCGGTGTATAGAGCATCACCAGTGCTGTCATCCGCATAGCAATGAATGTTACCAGTTAGCAACATATCATTGATATGCAGAAGAAACAGCGTTGGTGATAGCACACAGCCTTGTGGAACACCAGCGTTAATAGGCTTGTAGTCAGAACATGCACCGTCTACAACGACCTTGATGCTCCGATCTGCAAGGAAGCTGGTGATCCAATTGCACAATTTCTCGGGAAGCCCATAGGAAGGGAGCTTCGAAAGAAGCGCTTTGTGCCAAACCCGATCGAAGGCCTTCGCAATGTCCAGACTAACGGCCAACGCCTCCCCCTTGGACTCTACTGCCTCCGCCCATCTATGGGTCAGGTAGACTAGAAGATCACCAGCTGATCGACCCCGACGAAAACCGTATTGGCGGTCACTGATCAGCTGGTGATCCTCAAGGTACCGGATGAGCTGGCAGTTAATAATGGATTCCATTATTTTGGAGAACAAGGAGGTGATCGCGATAGGCCTATAGTTGGACGGGTCTGAGCGGTCGCCTTTTTTAGGGATCGGGTGGACAAAAGCTGTCTTCCATGAGTTCGGGACTACGCCTTGGGAGTAGGAGTACCGGAAAAGACGCGTTAGAACCGGTGCCAACTCCGGAGCACACGTCCTCAGCACAATTGGGGGGATTCCGTCAGGCCCACTCGACTTGTGGATGTCAAGGGAGAGGAGTGCTCTGCGAACCGAGCGCTGTGAGAATAGCACATCCGGCATAGAGCACTCACACCGCGGGATGGTCGGCGGTGTGTTCCCCCCGTCATCAACAGTCGAGTTGGACGCAAAAAGGGAGCCTAAAAGGTCGGCCTTCTCTTTTGCGTCGTGGGCCAGTGAGTCGTCCTCCCTGTGCAGAGATGGTAGTGATGGCTTACAGAAATTCCCTTGGACAGCCTTGGCGAGAGACCAGAATGCACGGGTTCCCGAAGGAAGGCGAACTAGTTTCTCGCCAATTCTGCCTATGTGCTCAGACTTTGCCTTGGCAATAACTCTTTTGAAGGACCTGGAGGCGAAGTTATACTTCTTTTTAAGTGTGCTGGTGTTTACATCCCGAGTCACCGAAGCCGCAGCCCAGGCTTGATAACACTCCTGCTTTCTACGAAATGCAGTCTTACAGGAGCGACCAAACCAAGGCTGAGATCTGCCTCCGATGGGTACCACAGATGATGGAATAAATAGTTCCATTCCCTGTAGCACCACATCAGTGACAGAGTCAGCAACAGCGCTGGGATCATCCGGCGAGAAGCAAACACGCCCCCATGGGTAGGATGCAAAGAAAGACCGCATTCCGTCCCAATCCGCCGACCTGTAATGCCAAACACGGCGGCAACCTGCAGAACGCAACCGCGAAGGGAGCGTGAGTGGCACCATACTCCGGATCAGACAATGGTCCGAAGAGCCGAGAGGGGCATCGACGGAAACCTGATATCCGTCCGGATGAGAGGTCAGCAGAAGGTCCAACAGGGAAGGTGTATGATCCTCCACATCTGGAATCCGTGTAGGCGAAGTAACCAGTTGTGTCAGACCATATGCCAAAGCAAAGTCATAAACAGATCTCCCCGCATGATCGGTTAAACGTGAACCGAGCCATTCGGCATGGTGGGCGTTAAAATCGCCAAGGATCACGATCTCTGCGGATGGGACCTGTTGTAGCAAGGAATCTGTAGCCATTTGGACGTGGTCGATGAGTCGGTCTGTTTCGGCATTACCGCTATGGGACCTATAGAGGCACCCGTAGACGCGCGGATGGTCGTCGCTGTCTACGCGTAGCCAAAGGATGGACAGGTCCGAACCTTCAAGACTGCCGAGGCGTCGAGAACAGATGTCCTCTCTGACATACACGCAAACTCCAGCCCGAGGCACAAAGGAGTGCTCCAATTTGTACCCCGGGCAGGAGAGATACGAAATATCAGCCGGAGAGGAAACCTGCGTCTCGGTCAGAAAGAGCAAGGCCGGCTTCGCCGTCTCGAGATGGTAGTGGACGGCGTTTAGGTTAGAGTGAAGTCCCCTGATGTTGCAGAAATTCACGGTTAGCGTGGCAGGGGTCGCCTTGGTATTGTTGCTCAGTTTGCCCCAAGCAGTTTTGTTTTTGAGCGGAATTTTGCCCCCCCCAGAATACGCGGGGCAGCCTGAGCACCCACGCTCAGGATTGGAATAACATGGTCGTGGATGCTCAGCGAGGGATTCTCCAGGGGTACTGGTACCCTCCTGGGGTAGTCTACTTTGTAATTCCGCTACCATGTTGATGGGGGGGGGGGGGGGGGGAATTGGGCCTCCGGCCACCTGCACTCACCAGACGAAACGCAGAAGCAGAGCCTCTACTTCACGCCGGTATTCTGTGAGGTCGTGGTACCAACCCGGCTCGAGCCTGCCCATACGTGCAACAGCAAAAAACTGCTGCGGGGCTCTACCACCGTTAAAACCGTTCGTCGTTCTTTAACCAACGTAAGTCCGTAGAACATTTTTACGAAGTATTAAAAATATTTTATAAAACAAATAAGTCGCTTATAAAGCAAAATCCTCAAAAAATAGTAAATTAAAAAGAAATGAAACTTAAAAATAAAGAAAGAATGAATACCTCGCAATCGTCAATATCAATTTCACAATTAGCTCCCGTTAATCCATCCTGACACACACAAGAATAACTGGCAATACCATCGACGCAAGTGGACCCAGCGGCACAAGGGTTGGCTTCGCATTCGTTGATGTTTATCGAACAATCTTTGCCTATAATTAAACAATGGTATTATTCAAAATCAAAATAAGTATTATTTCTAAATTAACTTACAATATCAAAAACAATTATATTTCTTACCTTCAAAACCATCCATGCAAGTGCATTCGTAATTATTTTCCAAGTTCTGACACGTACCGCCGTTTTTACAAGGCGATGAAAGGCATTCATCAATATCTTGCTCGCAACTATCGCCAGTGTATCCTTTAAATTTAAAATATATTTATAGATATTTTATTTATACAATATCATTACCATAATGGCCTTCTGGCACAAGTATTTTAAATACTTAAAAGGAGTCCTCAACTATAACACTGTATCAATTTACAATGCCATTATTATCCAATAAATATATATAATAAAAAAACACCACACTAAAAATCTATATAATCTTAAATATTAAAAATAAAATTATTGTTAATAATTGAATCACATTTTTACCTGGCTTACAGTAGCACTGATATGAACCGGGCACGTTAACGCAAACTCCGTGATTACATATTTTAGGCATTAATGCACATTCATCCTTATCTAATTCACACAATCTCCCTGAAAAGAAAAAAAAAGTTAAAAAAAAACCTTTCTTACCAACTGATATATTTAAATTAGAAATTTTACGCACCATTTATCAGAATAATAAATTTTATAATTAATATTTGGTATGAATAATGCATTAGTGCAAGTAGAAATTTACTACTAAAAAACGTGAGACCTAATTATGAAATACATTGAAAGTAATATTAGTCACACCACGTAACATCTCGTTTGCACAAGTGATTTAAATGCACTAGCGTTAATGTGTATACTTTATCGCTAGGTACTGAGCGAAACGTGTGATGTCGGTACATAAATGAATAATATAACACCTAATTATCGATACGTGTTGAAAATATGTAAATAAGTAAAATATATTCATAACAGTACGTATTCATTTACATCAAACGAAACTATACTGAAAAAAACCGGAAGCCGTGTTATGAAGCAAACAAAAACACTGGACATCACTATTAACGTCAATGTCATAAATATATCGCGGCCTCGAGCTCGTGTCAAAACATAACCATATTACCAAAAAAATGTTTACTGAATTGTTTTTTGTAACCGTGATTGTAATGCATTTTAAGCAAAAAACGTGAATTGTATTTCAGTAATTATATGTTTAGTCATAATGATATTTCCAACGCGGAACTTTTTAAGGTTATGTCGAAACCAAAGTATAATAAAAACTCATATAAATTACACTAATCTAAGAACGAATACTTCAGAAATTAACGAAAAAGAAGAAAACGCAACGATAAATACAAATTTTAAACAACTTCTACTTTCGTATAAGGACAAAATTGAGTTTAGTTCCTATTTGGAACACGAAAAATTAGAATTAGGTTATTATAAATATTACGTGAAATCAATAAAAAAAGCTGCGCAAATAGAAGCAAAAAAATTTAGAGAAAAATGTTTACCGCCATTGCCTGTCTCATTAAAATATTATATAAATGAAAACAAATTATTAAATGAAGAAAAGGAGGAGATTGATTTTACCGGACAAAATACAACATTCCACCTACCTTTTGCAAACAAAACCAATGTTAGTGTATTTGTAACAGATAAAAACATCAACAAGAAAATAAGTAGTCATTCTAATGACATGTCACCAAAAGAATTTGACCATTCTAATTTAAACAAATGGATGACAAATTATGAACATTTTGATGATAGCCAGTTGTCATCTCTGGAAGAACTAGAAGATGAAGAAACAATGAAACAAGAATGGTGTAAGAATTATGGGACTCCCGACCCTATGGAAGGCATTAGTCGAGTAACATGTGGTGGGTGTGGAGCCCTACTCCACTGTAGTGACCCCGCTATACCAGGATATCTGCCAAGTGAAATATTTAAGGGTCGTGATGAGGAAGAATTAAGAAATATAGAATGTCAACGATGTCACTTTCTAAAGGAGTATAATATAGCATTGGATATCACTGTACAACCAGAAGAATATGAAAAACTTCTACAAAATATAAGGTATATATGATCTCATCATTCAAGTCTATATAATATTAAGGATTTATTATAATATTAAGGATCAACTTATGTTAAAGCATATCTTTTGTGTAAGAGCTAAGTTTTTTTTGGTGGTTTTGATGTATTCACACGTGTCAATGTGTTAAAAATTTGAATAGCTTATGCAAAAGTCAAGTAAAAGAGCTACAAATTGTTGCCAGTATAACATTGTTAACAGTAATAATGCTTAGTTTTTCTTTGAGAAAAAAAAGCACTAATACTTTATATTTAACCACAATGTAGCAATCAATGTAAGTACAATTTAGGTCTGTTTAGTATAATATTAAATAATATTATACTAAACAGACCTTATATTAAATAATATTGCTTTGTTTTTGTGTATAATTTAGTTATGAATAAGGTTTTGATTGGAGTACACCATGTTTAACAGACATTAATGAAATGTAAATTGTTTACTTTTTGGTGTAAGGCAGTTATTATTATCACATAAATGATCACAGACGTATTATGATTCATTAGGAAAGTTTAGTTGGTACTTTTGAGTCATAATATGAATGATTGTAGTGTACAATCCCATTTAACAATATGCTTACAAAAATGGTCTTATATAAACTTAAAACGGTAACAGAAAAATGGATTTGAAATTTATGATGTTTCATCATAATCATTATAGCCCATCACAAGAGGCCTCCCCCAAGGAATGCCTCAAAGCACAGTCCCGAGCCACCTGCATCCAGTGACTTCCTGCATATCTTACAAGGTTGTCACTGCACATAGTGGGGGGATGCCCTACACTTCGCCTGCCTATATGATGCTTAAGCGAAACATAAAAAAGAAAAATTTACTTTGGATAAAAAGTTAAAGAGGACTTCAATGGAAAAGGTTACGTTATTTTCCGACTTGAAATGTTTATCCCCTTTTCTGAATGCCGCCTTACTCAATCTGACCCAACTACATCATCTTCTTTTAACACTCTTCTTAGACACTTTTTTTTACATTTTACTAATGCAATAATGATAGAGGTTGCTAAAGCAGATAAATAAACAATTATATATTGTCATCTTGGGTAAATATGAAGATTTTATGATCATACTGTATTATAATGTGTTTATTTGACTGACAGCTATTACAGACTATGGTCAGAGATACTGACATTACATTTCTATGAAGATAAATTTAAAGATAAATGTAATAGCACTCTCAAAAATTAAATGTAAAATATTATTTATATTATTTTACAAATATCTAAAATTCGAAATATAAAATTAAGCAAGGCAGAATTGTACTTAGTATGATACTCTGTAAAATATATATTAACTAACATAAAGTTTGAAAATTTATTGATACCCGTTCCAGAGACTTTGCCCATGTGAAATTTATTACGATTGGATTTCATGGTGTCATATTCAAAGATTTATTGTTATTCTATTTGGGGGTACTTGTTTACTTTGTTCATTAATAAAGTAAATTGAATGTAGGTTATTTAATATTCACTTATGACACTTGTCTTTTGTAATGCTACCAAGCTTAATACATAACAATATTCAACCAATATGTTTTATTCTATATTCTGAACATATTACATGGGTTTTAATTTTTTTTGCTCGGAACCCTAATTATTTTTCTAAAATAAAAGTAAGCTAAGTTACTCCTCATAAAACCAGCTATCAGTTAGTGAAAGTTCTGTCAAAATCGGTCCAGACATTTTGGAGATTAGCGGGAACATTTTGACATTACAAACAGTTTATTTGTATAGATATCTATATGAGGCATATTAAGGTGGGTTAGATTATAAGATAAATTCTGCAGTGAGATAAAAAAACCATGTTAGTCAAAATATTTTTTAAATATTTTCAGGCATGTGAAGTCCTTGGTGCTACTGATGGTGGACCTACTAGACTTCCCATGTTCCATATGGCCTGGTATTGTTGACATCATCGGCACAGACAGACCTCTCATCATTGTAGGAAACAAGGTAAAAATTATACATAATATACATTGTACAATAGAATAAATTAACAAGTTGAAATATATTCAAGCATTATTTATAATAATATATTATAAGATAAGATGAGCTTTACATCAAGATATAATAATAAATACAATTTTGCAGGTTGATTTGTTACCAGGTGATAGTATTGGCTATCTCAAGCGTGTTAAGGACTCTTTTCTGACGGAAATAAACAAAACAAGACTAAGCAAAGCTAATGTAAAACATGTTGCTCTTATTTCTGCAAAGACGGGCTATGGAGTTGAGGAGTTAATATCAGCTATGTTCAAAATCTGGCTATATAAGGGAGATGTATTCCTTGTAGGCTGTACAAATGTGGGAAAGAGCTCATTATTCAATGTTCTATTACAATCTGATTACTGCAAAGTGCATGCAATAGACATTGTTAAAAGAGCAACAGTTAGCAGGTGGCCTGGAACAACATTAAATTTATTGAAATTCCCCATCAATAGACCTTCAGGATGGAAAATACATCAAAGACAGCAGCGACTCAAATCGGAAGCTCACCTCTTAAAACTTGAAAATGAAATCAGAAGAGGACAAGTGAAAGGAAAAATATTTAATGATGCACCATCACTAATAGGGCACATCGGAAGAACCTTTTCAAAACCAGTGAGTGATGAAACAGATGAAGTGAAGGTACCCATTAAAGTTATGGATGAGAAACATGAGCTATTTGCTAACAGTAAATGGTTTTATGACACACCCGGTGTAATACACCCAGATCAAGTGCTATCTTTACTCAGTACTGAAGAGCTGCTACTGACCATACCAAAAAGTGTGATAAGACCACAGAGTTATTACTTGCACAAAGGGTTTAGTTTCTTTATAGGTGGTTTAGCACGTATGGATTTCGTTGATTGCACAGAACCGTGTAGGTTTACAATATTTTGTTCAGAACACCTACCAATTACTGTTGTAAAGACTGAAGATGCTGATGAAATATACAATAAGTTTCTAGGCACAGAATTATTTGCAGTACCCATGAGTGGTGGAGAAAGACTGACCAGTTGGCCTGGATTGAAAAGAATGGAAAATATCATGGAATTTACAGGGCAAGGACCGAAAATTTGCTGCGGCGACATAGTTTTATCATCAATTGGCTGGGTATCGGTAACTGCAAAGAATGGAACTTTGTGTCAAGTGGCTGCATGGACGCCGGAAGGCAGAGGTATTCACAAGCGTGTACCCTCGGTGTTACCATATTCAATCAACTTGAAAGGTAAAAGAATTCGAGATACACCTGCATATATGGTTGGAAAAGTATATTCTGAAGATAGTAACTGATAACTTTGTAATTGTAGCAGTGAAGCAATAAATAACTTTACTCGTTATTTCTGCAATTTGTATTCATTTAACAAGAAATTTACCAAAATGTTACCAAATATGAAAACTTTGAATATTATATTTTAATACTAGCGACTTTTCCTGGCTTCACCTTGGTGGTATCCATTAATGTCATTTATTTAGTATTTTTCGATTTCTCAAAAAATAATAGGTAAGCTTTTCGGATAAATATAGCCTAGATCACTCCTGGCATTGCTCTATTCTCTAGGGCCCTCGAGTACTCAGTTAAGAAAAAAATTACACATCATTTTTTTTATTTAAATTTTTACGCCCTTCATTGTACGCCACATAGTAGGAGTATTATCGATAAAAATAATTAAGGCCTGTAGAAACCGATCGGCGATCAGAGTGCCCACAAATTATGCCATTGCAGTTGCAGGACAGCAATGGGTAAGTGTAGTCGAAGAAAATCATATGCAACACATAATTACATATTTTTAATTTATGACAGTTGTGTAGATAAAGGCCCTTAGTAATATTGTAAACAGGTCTTGTTTTTCATAATAATTACGAAACAATCTAAATTGTCATGTTAGTTTATGTTCTCATTAGAGGTCATTTAGTCCCAGTGACAATACATTTTTACATAGACTTTTACATAGACTTACATAGTACTGTCTATGTACATCTTTAGAGCTCTAAATAAATCGGGTTCTCTATATGAAGGTAAAAAAGAAATGCCGTTAAATATCCAATCAGCCTTTTCCTTAAAGTAGAGGTGATGAAAGCGATAGACAGTAATTTCGTTACAATCGGGAAAATGTTTATGATAATGCAGCAAGAACCAAAAAATTGAACATTAAGTTCATATTACTTATGCTGAATTTGCAAGTGATGTGTTAAATTTTTTTCCTTGGTATTACTATCAACGTGAATCTTCAATGGGGCCCTCATATATCTAAAGTAGCAAGATTAGACTTAGTTCTGCAGCATACGCTGTAAGAAAGATCAAGTCTCACCGATGTTGAGACAGATTAGTTTATTTTAGTTACTTTCATAGCGTAATGTCTTATGGAATTTTAAACCGGCGACGAGGTTCGCCACCCGTCACGTCCTGTCTCCCGGAGGGGCGAAAAGTGGATTGCGGAGGCCCGTCTGGCTACGCTGAATGTATGTGGAGCAATGAATGATAAGATGGATGAAGTATGCGAAATGATGAATGATAGAGGAATAGATGTGTTATGTGTAAACGAGACGAAACGAAAGGGAAGAGATGTCACTGCACATGGCATGTATACCGCTTACTGGTCTGGAGTAGACGAGACCGAGCGGGCATGCCAGGGAGTCGGTGTCATCCTTTCAGAAAGAATGGGTCAATGTGTGAAAGAGTATGAATGTGTTAGCCCAAGGCTGCTGTGGATACGAATGAAAGTGGGCTTAAAGAAGTTGTTTGTGCTAGGGGTGTACGCCCCAGATATGTCTAAGCCCACTTATATCCGAGAGCAGTTTTGGGACATGGTAAGGCTGGTGTTGATGAAATGTAAGGAAAATGAAAATATTATTATGTTAGGAGATTTTAATGGAAGGGTGGGGGTGAAGAGGTCTGGTTATGAAAGGATATTAGGAACGTTTGGCGATGAAAGAATAAATGAGAATGGTGAAGACCTCCTCACCGTATGTGTGGAAAAGAATCTTTTTGTGGCGAACACTTTCTTTCGCCATAAGAGGATTCACATGTATACATGGGAAAGAGGGGATGATAGAAGCATGATAGATTTTATAATTGTGGATGAAAGAATGAGGAGCGCAGTGGTAGATACAAGGGTTTACCGGGGGTCCAACGTAGGGACGGATCATTACTTGGTCTTATGCCGAATTAATGGTCTATTCAGACGTTGGCGGCATCGGACATCGGTGTCTACCACTGCGTTACAGCGTATAAGAATAGAGAGGTTACAAGATGAAGGTGTGAAAGAGAAGTATAAATGCAGACTGAGGGAAAATATAAGTGGGTTGAATGAATTATGTATGAATGATTTAGAATTGAAGAATGTATGGAATAATATTAAGAGAGTTCTGGTGGATGCAGCCACCGAAGTATGCGGTGTAAGTAAGAGAACGAATGAAAGGAAAAGTAATACGTTGTGGTGGGATGATGAGGTACGGATGGAAGTTGAAGCAAAGAAGAGAGCATGGCTAGATTTACTAGCAACTAAAGCTGGTAATTCTGGCGGTATGAATGATGAGATTGAAAGAAAAAAGGCAAACTTTAGACGTATAAATAAGAGAGTAAAAGAAGTTGTTGAAAGGAAAAAGCAAGAAAGGATAGATAAAAATGATAGAAGGATATCTGATAACTTCCAGGAAAATATTAAAATGTTCTGGAAGCTCGTAAGAACTGCCAGGGGAATTTCAAAACAGCCTAGAATGAATGCTATACGAGACGAGAATGGCTGCATGCTGAATGATGAAGTTTCGAATTTAAAGAGATGGAAGGAATACTTTGAAAGCGTGTTTAAGAGTGAAGAGTCGTCTGAAATAAGTGAAATAGAAATTCCGGAAGAAGTGGAGAGAGGTAGGGAGATAAGTGTAGATGAAATAATGAAAGCAATGAAAAGCATGAAAGCAGGTAAGGCAGCCGGATATGATAGAGTATCACTCGAAATGCTAAGGGCTGGTGAGGGTGTGGTTGCAGGCCTGCTGCACACCTTGTTTAATTTATGTTGGGAACTGAAACGGGTACCGGAAGACTGGTGCAAAGCCGTTATAGTCCCAATATATAAGGGAAAGGGGTCGCAGCAGGACTGTAAAAACTACCGTGGTATCAGCTTGCTTAGCATTGTGGGTAAACTGTATGCTAAGGTGTTAATTGAAAGAGTTATGGAAGAAACTGATGGAAAAATTTGGGATGTGCAAGCTGGATTTAGAAAGGGGATGGGGTGTACGGATCAAGTCTTTTCCATGCGCATGATAGCGGAGAAGTTTTTGGCTAAAAACCAGAAAGTTTTTTGTGCGTTCTTGGACTTGGAAAAGGCTTATGACAGAGTGGACAGGAACGTGTTATGGCAAACACTGAACTCATTTGGGTTGAGCGCTGGCTTGATACAGGCATTAAGGTCTCTTTATAGGGACTCTAGTGCTTGTGTCAGGATCAACGGGGTCTACTCGGACTGGTTTGGCATTCATAAAGGTGTCAGACAGGGATGTGTGGCTTCCCCGTGGCTGTTTAACCTATTTATGGACAGTTGTTTGCAAACTTTGAAAGTTGAAGAATGTGGGTTGAGAATGGGTGAGTCAACCGTCAAATGCCTTTTGTACGCCGATGATCAAGTCATATTTGCATCGTCGGCGGCCGAGTTGCAAATGATGGTTACTTTAATGAATTGTTCATTGAAAGAAAGGGGTATGAAAGTGAACGCAAGTAAGACGAAAGTGATGGTTTTTGAAAGAGAAGAAAGTAAAACTTTATGCAAAATAAGAATAGAAGGGGAGTTGATTGAGCAAGTGGATGAGTTTGTATATTTGGGATGTTTATTTAGCAGGGATGGTAGATATGATAAGGATATAGGACGAGTGAACGCAGGCATCGAGTGATTATTATAATATCAAGGAATACATAAATGAAAATAACCCCCGGGAATGAGGTGATTACCATGCTGGTTCTATTAATATTCATTAAAAAAAATGTATAAACAAAATTATTGTAAAGTGAAATATCTTTAAAAAAAATCCCGCTCGGTTTCGTGCTGGTTCTTAATATTAGTTTATTTTATGTAACGTTGGTCTCAAGAGTGAACTTATAGAATCTAATGAAATAAAAATTCACTATCTAGTTATTACTAGGTCTACATCTACAATAATTTTAAATTAAAAATTTTGTACAACCGATTTCAACATAATTTATTGAAAATAACTCAAAAACTATTGTTCAGACCTTGTTGAAATTTAATGGGACCACATGAGAAGCACCAGTTTTCAAATAAAAAACGAATCATCGAAATCGGTTCACCCAGAAAAAAGTTGAGGTAAGACACATAAAAAAAGGAAAAATAAACATACAGTCGAATTAAGTACCGTCTCCTTTTTGAAGTCGGTAGAAAATAACTTTTCATCAAAGAGTGGTACTTAATTCCAAAGAAATTTAAGTGTTTTTCTACTATTAAATGTAACAATTAAGTAAAAAAAAAACTAATAAGAAGTGATTAAAAGTAATAAACTGCATTATTTAATACTCTCAGAATGTACTCGCACAAGGACCACACTGTCGAGAATATAAGGAAAAACGACAGGATTATTTTAAATTATAGATACTTTGATATACTTACTCGTAACACAAATATTATATAAAAATATTGAATTTTTGAAACAAAATTTTTCTCCGGAATCTAAAGGCTATATCTGTTAGTGAAGTTTCATCTATATCGGTTCAGCCATTCCCAAGATTAATCCGAATAGACAGAGAAAATTTTGAAAAATAATTATACATGTGTAAATAGCATGCAAATAAGCTCCTGAGCTTAAAAGAAGGCAGTTATTTCGATATTACAATACAATACAATAACTTTATTTCCGGCTTCAAGAACTTAACAATTAACTGAACATTGGCCCATAGATATATATACCTTAACCTAAAAATATATATAAAATATAAACATAACTAAACACAACGAAACACTATTTAGGGAACTTTCTTCTTTGGTGCGTCCCTGTATCCGTCCCCCGAAACGCTAGCCCAGAGGGCTAGAAATCGGGAATTACAGACAGACATTTCAATGTTATTTATATAGTTGATTAATCGTCCCACAATAGCATAAATGTGTAGAATAGAATAGAATAATTTTTTATTCAATGTAGATCACATGTGTAATTCTTATTAAAAGTCATTTATTACTTTACCACTGGTTCGAAAAAAACCTCTGTTCTAGGAAGAAACAGAAAGAAACCCCGCGGGACCTTTTTTAAAAGCATATTTTACATGAATGGTTGTACAAATTATATAACTACAAAATTTGTTTAATAAACAGCTTGGAAGCGACCACCTCATTCCCAGGGGTTATTATTAACCATGTATTCATTTATACTATAATAACGCTTTGTAAAAATCTTTCAGAGTGACAAGCAGATAGAACGTTGAATTAGATGTGATGATATGCACAAAGTTATAATTACAGCCTATTTACCTCCAGCAGCCACAGCTCTCCTCTCTTGTTTGAGAGGGTTTTTAGGGCAAGGAAATGGTCGCCGCGCTGCCCCAATGCGTGTTGTGACTGACATCACAATTCACATGTCTTCAATATTATTTTGTATTTCTCAGGCATGCTTATCATACTTCTAATTCTTCATTGTTCTAATTAGTTATTCGTCTAAGTAGTTAAATAAATGTTTTCCTTAACAACTTAAATAGTGGTTAAAATTGTGTAAGTTCAGCAAATAGAGTACACGTCGCAGGCAATGGAAAACTAAAAAAGATCGTCGTCCTTTTTGTCCGACTTCAAAAGAAGGAAGTTCTCAAATCGACTGTGCTTTTTTGTATGTATCTTTGCAAGCTAACAATTTCTAATATTGTTGTCGCTCCCCCAATGTGCGCAAAATATTCCATAACAATTCGTATGCCGTTAACATAATGTTGCAGCAAATTGTTTCAACTGTGACACTGAAAATAAAACCCTAACAATATTTTTTTCCCTGGCCCTCTACCATTAGGACGGATTTGTCTTGGCAGCTTGACGCTTGGCAAGTGGATACGCGCAAATACTTCTATGAATACCAGTAGATCAGCGATTCAGAACAAAAACTGCGACACAGTGCTATGGATCATGCGCCGCGGGCGGGTAGCCGGCGCGGTAAATATGACACGCACTTGTATTTTAATTTACGAAGGTTACTATTTTTACGCAAATACGAAAAAAGTTACATACTAATCGAAAATAAAGTTGCACGTTGCACGGTAAGTGGATGCTGTGGTCCATAAACATTTATATTTATCCTCAATTACTAATCAAAATGCTGATGCGTTATCATCCCTGAGGACTGAGATGGAATGCCTCGTTTCCAGTGTAAAGGGTCTCTAAGGGAAGTTACAAATAATTACCCATAATTTAGTCCACAATGTATTAGTACCGTAGTGCCCATTTATTAGTTACATAGAAGTCTTTGAATAGGCGATTGCAGTACCACGTCTTACCTGTGTCGCTGCTCCCTTCGCCGGTTTGGACATTTTACGGTTGGCGTTAAGATATATCAACAATTAATCGATAGCCATAAGATTTTCTGGCAGTTACCAAAGTCTTCTCTTACAAAAAGTAAGACAATGGGGTAGTGTATATTTTAATGCCGTGACCATATGAACTGAAATTTATGTTATAAAACTTGTCTGGGCCATAAATATACATGATTATAGTGCGTTTACATTCAGCCGGCTCTAGTCATAGTTGAACATTGGTAAAGCATAAACATAAATAAATATAATACACCATATGTGGTATAAATAATAAAAAGTAAATCATACGTGGTAGAGTCACACTGCAGCTATATTATGGTAGCAGTACGAATGGATCGGCTCGACCAAAAGACTATACTTGCGTAGAAAAAAACGTAGTTTCGTATGGTAGGTATAGAGAAGCGAAGTTTAGTAAAAACATACTGGAAACAAGGCATTTTATCTTGGTTCTCAGAGGTGATGACGTGTCAGTATTTTGGTTGTTAATAGAGGATAGATGTATGTGTCTATGGTTTGCAGCATTCACCTTCCATCATGTGAAGTTAACTATATATGTCTAGTTTGTCACCTATATTTTTATAGCATTAATTAAATGCTAGGGTGACAACACTTCTGAGGACTAAAATAGAATGTTTCGTTATCAGTAATTTTTTATTTTTGCTGATAATGAAACGTATTAAGTTGTGTATTGTTTCTATTCTACATAGCTGCAGTCTTGCGGGGGAGAACTCATCATAAGTTAGTTCAACTTTCAACTAATCGACGTGCCCGCCAAATCTACTTTTTATTTCAATTGGTTTTATACTTTCAATGTTTTTCAATTAGTTGTTCTTAATTTTATTAAGTTCATGCTCCAAAAATTATTAGGACCTATTGTAACTCATATATTGCACACGAATAAATGAATTTGAAAAACCTGGATAATACAACGTGGCTTTGTCACGTAAGGATGCGTGAGGTGAGGCCAGATGAGTTAGGGCGAGAGACGAGGTGAGGTAAGGCGAGGCGAGGCAAAGTGAGGTGAGGATGTTGAGAGATGAGACAAAATGAAGTGAGGTGAGCCGAAGTAGAGAAAGATGAGATGAGATGGGGTGAGACGGGGCGAAGTTTACTGAGGTGAGACGGGACAGGGGAGTCGCAGTGGATTTAGATGAGATGCGATGTGACTGACCGGTGAGTCCGGGCGGGCAACGGCAGCTGAACAGCGCGCCGGCCAGCGCCACGCACGCGCCGCCGCGGCACGGGGACGACGCGCACGCGCCCGCGCCCCCGCCCCCGCCCTCTTCAGCGCCCGCCGCGCCCCCCGCACCACCCGCACCACCCGCGCACCGCCACCATCCGTTCTGCTCCACGCACTCCTACACACAATCATATACACATACTAACCAACTCCTACATGCACCTTCTACTTAACTCGCTACTTTAACATTTCCTCATCTTTTTTATTGATGCTAAAGGAAAATATATTTATTCACACATAAATGTACACATAGGTTTTAACTCATATAACTTACCTATTTCAAAGTACATACAAAATTTATTAGATAATGATAAAATATATCAAATCAAAATATAAGAAGTATTAATAATTACAAAAAACTACAGCATAATTGCAATAAAAATATTTAACTACCTAACACAATAGAACCTTTACCTAATCTAAATTACAACTAGATTATTATAGTTATCGTTGCTAAGCAATCATAACGTAAGGCTACGCTAATCGGTTCTTTTTAGAAGAATAATTACTCTCTTGAGATTTGTACGTCCAAACCTAAGTTCAAAATATGTGTCAGTCGTGAATTATTCGTTTGTTTGGCCCGAATCGCATCAAAACATTGATGAATGTAATAATATTTTTCGAACGTTCCAGATCAAACAAATGAGGACCAACAACCAAAAAGTAAAATCCGATGTTCGACAATATCGAAGGGGTCTCACAAATCACATAGTACTAAAACTCGAAATTATCCATTTGAATGATCGACCCGAATGACCCGGTTCGTAAAACGAATCAATACTTGAATAATTGGGGAAACTTCCTGTCTCGCCATTATCTAAACTTTTAAACAAACAAAATACGAAGAAGCTTTTCCCCAATCTACACTTGTCACAAAAAAAAAGTATATTAAAAAATCTAAATTTTTGAGTAATCTTCAACAAGCTATAACTCCGAGGAAAATGATCGTACAGCAAAAAAAAAGCAAATTGCAGTTCCAAGTCTCTAGTTTTCAGATATGGCCATGAAATTTTTTTATCGTTTGGTTCTAGAGTCATCCTAAGGAAACTACCGAAAAAAATCTAACTTTTAGATCGTCTTAAAAGAGGTCAACGGGCTTCAAAAATTTTTTTTTCATTATTTCACTAAAAAGCTTTTTTAAGAAATTTAATGCCCTTCAATTTGACGTAATCATAAAGCCTATACGATGATTTGCCGCGGAGCTATCGTCAATCAAAACAAAAACTTTATTTTTATCTTTGATAATCAATAACTCTGAAAATAATGATCATATAGGAAATTAAAGGTGAATTTTAAAAATTGCTTAACAATTTTCATTAAGTACCATGAATGACTTTTAACGAAAAATTTTTTTCGAAACTTAACTTTGACTGAAAAAAAGATAAAAGTTCGCAATTTTTTTTCTATAATAATAATAATAATATTTTTATTGACAAATAAAGCCTTGAACTTAATGCAAAGTTATTGTAGATAAATTGTAACAAGATGGCTAGCTTAAATAACCCAGAAATAAGTTGATCCCCTGACTTTCATGCTAGGGTAACCTGTGTTGTGAATGTGTATACAAATAGTATACGTGTGACCTGTGTATGCGAGTGTGTATGTTTGTGTGGGTGGTGCGCTGCGCGTGACGGACCTGGTCCGGGTGGTGCGGGCAGCCGAGCGTGCGGCAGTCCTCCTCGCCCGGCCCCGCCACCGCCCCTGCCCCAGCTTCCGCCTCCGCTTCCGCGTCCGCTATGTCGCAGCGCACGCCCGCCCACCCAACTTCACATTCGCACCGGAACCCGCCCGCCTGCATCATACGCAACTCTCACATCGACCACCTTTATTATATTAAGGCGGCTCTTCACGTTGGCCAACACTGTGGCGAATGTTGTAGCCAATACCGGTGGCCATCGTGCAGAGCGGATGTTTATGCTTCACTTAGTATGTATTGGAATGATGGCCCACAAGTTGGCGCGAGATCCGTGTGGTGTCGGTTTTTTTACAAAAGATCAAAAGGTTGTGGCATAGTATTGGTCGCCGCGTCTACACGTTGAGCGCAAGTTTAATTTGCTAGTTTGCTACGAGCTCCCAGAGTAATCGCACGCGCCTTGTTTAAATTCTATACCCATTCTTATACAGTTATTGAGTATTTGGGCATTAGCTAATTAATTTTTAACATCTTTAATCTTTAACGAAGTTGAGATATTTATGGGCCCCACCTGTCGTCGAGTGAATTAGATATTAGAGTGTCACACTTCTATTAAAAAAAACTTAGAGAAATAATCAGTTCCGAAGTGAATAAGAAGGCAAAGCTCACGAGGTCCCTGCAGGCGACGGCGTGCACGCAGGGCGCGGAAGAGCAGTGTTCCGCCTTCAATTCCGACAGCGCCTTGCCCGCCGCACCCCCCGTGACCGCACCCACTGTACCCCCTGCACCGGCACCCCCGGCACCCTCCGCACCGCCCGCACCCATCGCAAACTCGCAGTATGCGCCTGTGTACACGACATATACTGATATAAAACACTCTAAGCACGACCACTTAGCGCTCTCGTGCTCAGCGGGAATATTGGTAATAGTCATAGCTATAGTGTTTCTCTAAAAAAATCTAAACATACAATTATATTGTTATACGTACCAATGTTGCAGTACATTCAAATTATGTCTAATTTATTTTAAATCTAATTTCTACGTTATAATCTGTTTTAACATTTTCACTGACAGAGAAAGCTACAACTGAGTCAAAACATTAATCCAGCGGCAGACCAAAAACAATTTTGCATGCTTATGAATGGGAAACACATAAACTGAGGAACAATCAAACATGAGCGCAATGGGTAAAATGTTTTCATAGACAAACGTAACACACGTAAGGTTAACAAAACATTACATAATAACGATGAATTTGTTTTAAATCGATTATTCGATTCAATTAGTTATTGTTTAGAAGATTATTAATTTATCAAATAATCGAATAATCAATATATTACGACGTTATTATGTTTGTATAACTAGTATTAGGTCTGATTAAATCATAAAAGCAAGGCGAGGAAACATTTTGCAAACAGAAACATCTATGAACACTGGAAGCCAGTTCCCACATAACATTCGATAAGAGCCCGCGCGAACGGGCGTGCACTAACTATTGAAACCTGCGCTCTCTGCTCCGAAAACAATACATTGTCAACAACCCCATCCCCCGTGCTGTAACGCGGTCTGGAAAAGGAATAATTCTTGTGAATATTACAAAAGTGCTCGTGGTTGACGTTGTGGTACAGTAACCCGAAGTAAATAATGCACATCGAGTTTTAGAAAGAGATCATCAGCTAACTATGCCTTCGTAGAGCGTCGTCTCTGTCACTTATACCAGTGTGGCATTTTGATTTCTGTCGTTGTTTGAAAGATCGCTAGTGTGCGGTCGCGTCCACTTCAAATATAAATATATAGTTGTTAAAAACCTCGATATAAAATTGTAATGAGGAATGTAATTTAAATTAACTTACATAATACGTAATTATGCTCTATTTTCCGATTGGGTTTCTAAGAAAGCAATCATAAAAATGTTGGGTTATATGTATATTTAACCGACTTCAAAAAAAATAAGCGTGGGAAGGTGTGTATGTTTTGTGATATCTCATCAATTGGAAACAGATTTTGATTTTTTTAAATAAAAATAGTTAATACTTCAGGGGTTTGAATAAATGTATATTATAATAGTTAAAATAGGTTATACTTTGTGGAATAAAATAATTTCCACATAATAACTTCTGGAGTCAAGCTTTAATTCTTCTTACACTGTTTTAACATCTACTTCAGAATGTTATTTTTTTATGGAAAAGGAAGCAATTGACACACAGTATGGTGTCATTCACATGTCATTTCACACATATGTTGATAAGAGCGTTGTGACAAAATACAATAGATAGATAAAAAAATAATTTGCTAAAAAACATGCTATTGCTTGAAAATATGACATTTTTTGTCGTAATTTGCATACAAAAATTTAATTCAATTCAATTATACTGCGATGAAACTATACTTCAAAATGATTTCGTCATTAGTTAAAATTATATACTTACAAATATTCTTATTAAATTCAAATATAATGTACAATTAGATATACAAAAATTTACTTAAATGCAAAGAAATCTTGAATTCTTATACAATAAATTGTTTATAAATTATTAATTTTATTATTACATAATTATTAAATCATTAAACTTAAATATAATATTACATTAAATATGTAAGGTATTATTATTTTAATGACAGTGTAAAATTCATGCCTATACCCTTGAGTGCGGAAAGTAAAAAACTTTGGGAACCCGTGGATTGGGAGTCCCTGATGTATCGGGAGTTTTAAATTTTCCGTGCGGCAGGCGTGTGTGCGTGTGACACACGCCCGCCTCGCACGCGAGCAGTTCGCGAGCATTGTGCGTGTGGCAGGCGTGTGTGCGAGTGTGCGAGTGTGCGTGTGTGCGTGTGTACCTGTGTAGCCGGGCGCGCAGGTGCAGTGCGGGCGGTCGTGCAGGCGCGCGCACGTGGCGCCGTGCAGGCACACGCCCGCCTCGCACGCGCTCTCCGCACGCGAGCAGTTCGCTAGCACTGTGCGTGCGGCAGGCGTGTGTGCGTGTGTACGTGTGTACGTGTGTGCGTGTGTGCGTGTGTACCTGTGTAGCCGGGCGCGCAGGTGCAGTGCGGGCGGTCGTGCAGGCGCGCGCACGTGGCGCCGTGCAGGCACACGCCCGCCTCGCACGCGCTCTCCGCACGCGAGCAGTTCGCTAGCACTGTGCGTGCGGCAGGCGTGTGTGCGTGTGTACGTGTGTACGTGTGTGCGTGTGTGCGTGTGTACCTGTGTAGCCGGGCGCGCAGGTGCAGTGCGGGCGGTCGTGCAGGCGCGCGCACGTGGCGCCGTGCAGGCACACGCCCGCCTCGCACGCGCTCTCCGCACGCGAGCAGTTCGCTAGCACTGTGCGTGCGGCAGGCGTGTGTGCGTGTGTACGTGTGTACGTGTGTGCGTGTGTGCGTGTGTACCTGTGTAGCCGGGCGCGCAGGTGCAGTGCGGGCGGTCGTGCAGGCGCGCGCACGTGGCGCCGTGCAGGCACACGCCCGCCTCGCACGCGCTCTCCGCACGCGAGCAGTTCGCTAGCACTGTGCGTGCGGCAGGCGTGTGTGCGTGTGTACGTGTGTACGTGTGTGCGTGTGTGCGTGTGTACCTGTGTAGCCGGGCGCGCAGGTGCAGTGCGGGCGGTCGTGCAGGCGCGCGCACGTGGCGCCGTGCAGGCACACGCCCGCCTCGCACGCGCTCTCCGCGCGCGAGCAGTTCGGCGACCGGCCCGGCGCACCTGCACAACACACCACCATCACTACCTAACTTACATCACTCCAACCCTACTGTACCATACACGTGCAAAAAACGGTAATCATCTAAGTATTGTCTATATGAGGTAGCTAAAACGTACATGTTATATGATTGTCCTATAAAAACGCTTTAATCAGTGAAATGATAGCATTTTGATCACATTCTTGGCTCTATGAGCTTAGATTCCTTTGCCTGGTATGTACGTACGTAACATTTTTTTTTCTTTGGCAATGGACTAGTACTGTTGTACTTTTGCCAGTATCAAGTATAGTATGAACTATATAATAATAATAATATGATTAAAAAATTTCTTAACAGTGTGTTTATGCATCGCATTTTCGCAACTAAAATAAACCACTACTACATCTTATCTGAAACTGACTCCTTGGGTGTTTTCGGAACTAACTTTATTCATGTACGACGTCATAAAGTAGGCACAGGCTTTATTTGAAGGCGAAAACACAATTATTTTCATGCATTTTTGATAAAATATAACTATCTCTCTAGGAACGCGTAATCGATAAGCGGCTTTACGGTCTCAATTGTCAACAACAACATAATATTATGTTTCGATTTCGGTCTCGTAGGAGAAACAACAAAAGCTTGGAGAGACTTAAGCCGCGTATCGATTACGCGCTCCTGGCGCGCGCGCCATGAATGACCGCGCCGTCCATTGCGTTCCGCGGAACTGTTCCAAATGTTCCAAGTGTATCAACTAAGCGCGCCTGGCGCGCACGTCATGAATGATCGCGCCGACCATTGTGTTCCGCGGAACTGTTCCAAATGTTCCAAGTGTATCAACTAAGCGCGCCTGGCGCGCACGTCATGAATGACCACGCCGACCATTGCGTTCCGCGGAACTGTTCCAAATGTTCCAAGTGTATCAACTAAGCGCGCCTGGCGCGCACGTCATGAATGACGCCCACCATTGCGTTCCGCGGAACTGTTCCAAATGTTCCAAGTGTATCAACTAAGCGCGCCTGGCGCGCACGTCATGAATGACCACGCCGACCATTGCGTTCCGCGGAACTGTTCCAAATGTTCCAAGTGTATCAACTAAGCGCGCCTGGCGCGCACGTCAGGAATGACCACGCCGACCATTGCGTTCCGCGGAACTGTTCCAAATGTTCCAAGTGTATCAACTAAGCGCGCCTGGCGCGCACGTCATGAATGACCACGCCGACCATTGCGTTCCGCGGAACTGTTCCAAATGTTCCAAGTGTATCAACTAAGCGCGCCTGGCGCGCACGTCATGAATGACCACGCCGACCATTGCGTTCCGCGGAACTGTTCCAAATGTTCCAAGTGTATCAACTAAGCGCGCCTGGCGCGCACGTCAGGAATGACCACGCCGACCATTGCGTTCCGCGGAACTGTTCCAAATGTTCCAAGTGTATCAACTAAGCGCGCCTGGCGCGCACGTCATGAATGACCGCGTCGACCAGTGCGTTCCGCGGAACGCGCTCTAAATGTTCCAAGTGTATCAACTAAGCGCGACTGGCGCGCGCACCATGAATGACCGCACTTATTAAAGCCGCGTATCGCTTATGTTTAAGAATTGAATAAGTGCTTGCGCATACCAGTTTAATCGTGATGATTTTTTGAAGATTTTATGAACTCATTTTAGTTCGTAAAAGAAATACACCAAAACACATATTTCATTTGGACCAATAATTTCCTTTGTAAATTTTCTCTCAAAATCACGCTTGTTAAAGGCATAAACACAAATCGCTCATTTCAATTTGAACGAAACTTCTGACATAGAAAATTCATTACATTACAACATAATAGACCAGCTCAGAAAACTAACCATAGTATCCGAGATCACACACGCAGATCACTTGTTTCGTAACCATCACGCCGGCCACCATGCCTGGGAGACCTAGAAAACCAAAAAATCGTAAAATGTCTGCTTTACTTTCAAAATTAATAATTTAATTGTAATATTTTATTTAATCGTTAATAATAAATAAAAATTATTTAATCAATCATAAAGTTTATATAATTGATATTAATTTTAATATAGTTTTTTTTTGTGTTCGTTAAAATGTCTGATAACCGTGGTAGATATAATTACTAGTTTAAAAGAATATTATTAAAAAATAAACAAGAGGACCATTACATTTGTAGAATAGATTATATCGTAAAAAATGTTTCTGTAATGTTGAGGGAGAAAATAAAAAAGTACGTATGGGTAATGTAATGGAAGGTTCGTCACATTAACTATCAAGAAGCTAAAAAACTACATTTTAAAATAATTTGAAAGAGTTGGTAATAAGAAGCTAACAATATATTAATATTGAATCGATCAAAAAACCTAGTTCATTGTATCAAAATTATTTGTTCAATTTAATATAATTAGATAATATTTTGTTGAACTTAAACATAAATATAAATAATAGAATCAAATAAATTAATATTTAATATTTTTACAGTATGATCGTCGGTTTTTTTTTTAAATCTTATGGTTTATTCCTGGCATTGCTCTTTATGTTGGTTTGTTGGTTGGTTGGTTGTTGGTTGGTTGGTTTTATTGTAATCTGTTCGGCCATTCCAAATATTAGTTCGGATTGACAAATAGACTGACTGACAAAACTTTTAACAGTGGTTATTTATATCTTAGTGACATGCAATTAACATTGTCAACTCGATACAAGGCAGTTATTTAGATATAACAGAGAGGCACTTTTTTACACTTTCATTTTGAGATTTTGTAAATATTCATATAAATAACAATCAATATATGTACACGCCCCTAGCTGCCCCAACAAAGGTCAAATATCCCGGGGCCCATCAGAGGAAGATTCGACGGACAACTAAGGGTGGGGCACAAAATCCTATGGACAATTGACCTATCATACTACACAATAGAGATAAGGCTAGGTAAATAAATAGTACGTACCTGGATCCGAAGCTCAGACCGCCCCAAGGCTCGGTCAGGCCGTAGGTAGGTGTATGTGCATGTAAAGTGGTGTGTAGTAGTGTATATTTATGTGACCTGGCCCAGCTGAGGTGCCCGGGCAGCGACCTGGTCCCATGCTGCCCCACAATGCTGCATCACTCCAGCAGGCGTCACCAAGTTACAACATCTTTCTTCATGTCACTATTTCAGTCTATCAACTTCATTGTACATTTAACTAACTTCAACTCAACTAATTCAACGTTCATCGTAGAATTAAACACGTGATACCCGACACAAATAACGAACAGTAGTTCAAAGTTCAACATTCAATGTTCCGGATTCATTTATCACCAAATTACAAATAGGGAACTAACGCGATCTTTTCACGAGTCACCAAGTTCAGTGTTACAAACAACAACTAAATTCCTTCGTACGATATTAAATACTACGCCGCAATAAGAATTCAAAATCAACCTAGCTGACACGCAAACTAACTACAGAGTCAATACACAAAAGGCTCTTAACGCGACGGTACAATTAAACAATGATTTCCAAAAAAACAATCAACCGGGCCACGCCCTCGAATGGAATGCGAGCTTCAAATTCCAGACCGTATCTCTACTCGGCGCGCGCGCAAGATTCCACGTCACACAAGTAAGTTAAATATTGCAAAATGCACTTCAACTCGCAATCACTATATAATTGACGCAATTACTTTCAAACGAAATTACTTTAATCAGGCAAATTCAATACAAGCCTCTTGTCACGAACGTACAAATTAGACAAAGTAATCCGAGGCGGTCTTCACGAAACCACAAATTAAATAGCGAATTAAACGCGCACAAATACTAAAATTTAGACCACAAAAACCAAAACTGGTCGCACGAAAAACCGCTGCAGCGGTCACCACAAAATACATTAATCGACCGCGCCGCTGCAATCAAGCTACTGTCGTCATCCCGCGCGTCGAGCGACTGCAAGCGGCCCCCCCCCCCCCCGGCGACTTTACCTTACCTCATCTCACACCATCGAGCGATGTGCCGAGTCAATGCTATTGGATGGCGTTTCAAAATGATCATATTTGGGCCTAAACAATATAAAATAAGTGAAATTGATAATATATGTATGCATATTAGTTAGTGGCATACCGAGTGAGTGCGCGTCGCGACAGTGCGAGTGCGGCGGGCACTGCAGGTCGGCGCAGGCGGCGGCGGGCGGGGCGGGCGGCGGGGCGGGCAGCGGCGCGGCGGGCGGCGCGGGCAGCGGCGCGTCGCACAGCGGCGGCGCCCAGCCGCGCGCGCACACGCAGCGGTAGCCGGCGCCGCCGCCCTCCTCCACGCACGCGCCGCCCGCGCCGCACGGGCCCGACGCGCACGCCGACATCTGCACGCACACACACACGCAAACCTTACTAATAACTCACAAATTCTTTCTAAATAAAATGAACATACATCAATACTGACCCTTATAAAAATTATTGAACACAGTTAAATATGCGACACCGTTTTTTATTTATACGAGGTTAATTTTTCAAAAAATAGCCAAATTATAAATTTAAATTCAAATATATAAATAATAATATATCTTTCATATAGTTTTTGAAAATACTGGCTAACAATGCTTTTACTTTTATATAATATTATGAAATTTAACAGTGGTAGAGCCACACGGCAGCTTTTGCTGTTGCACGGATGGGCCGGCTCGAACCGGGGTGGTACCACGACCTCACAGAATACCAACGTGAAGTAGAAGTTTACCTCTGCGTTTCACTTGGTGAGCGCAGGTGGCCGGAGGCCCTTTTTACTGGAAATGAAGCATTCCATCCTAGTTCTCACAGGTGAAAACGCATCTGCATTTTGATTTGTAAAAGAGGATAGATGTAGATGTCTATGGGCCGCAGCAACCACTTACCATCAAGTAGACTGTGTGCTCGTTTGTCACCCTTATTCTATAAAATGAAATAAAATAATTATCACAAACTGAATGTGATTTATGGGCAACAACTACGCAAATGCGTACTCCTCTGTTTGCGATTCAATTTACAACATTTTTTCCGACCGATCAACCCTTACGAATATGTGCGAATGATAATCAGTTAAAATAATAATGCATTACCACGCATTTTGGATTTAAACGATAAAAAGGACAGAATGTTTGAGATTTTTTTAATAAATTGTTCTTCACCATTGCCTACATTACTTATTTCAAACCTCTACAAATATGACCAGTTATTGCAAAATAATCCTGTATATATGTAACTATTCTATCACGCACGTATTAACACACGTCATTGAATTCCCCACAACAAACAACCGACGCTCGCTTCATAACCCATACAAAAACTCGATTGATTGATTGGCACCATGTATGTTCAACAATTTTTTTTTTATAGGATAAGGGTGACAAACGAGCACACAGTCCACCTGATGGTAAGTAGTTGCTGTGGCCCATAGACATCTGCATCTATCCTCGATTACGAATCAAAATGCAGATGCGTTGTCAGTCGTGAGGACTAAGATGGAATGCCTCTTTTCCAGTAAAAAGGGTCTCCGGTTCTCTACACTCACCATACGAAACACAGCAGCATTAAGCTGCTATTTTACGCTGGTATTCTGTGAGATGTAATTATCGTAATAACCACTATTATTCGGAGTACCCATGGGGCATGTTTTAGATCGTCCCTTATTTCTTAAATTTTAACATAAGTTTATTATTTAATCAATTAAGGTACATATCAGTTTTATTAAAATTAAAAAATACTAACTAATATAAATTAATCTTAAAGACAATCAACATTTAAACAATAATAACACTAATAGCCACCTACATTAAAGTCTAAGTCTATAAAGTCCTTATCTTAGATTATATAAAATGTCCAGATTTACCGTGGAATTTATCGTGAAGCCAATTTTTATACGTGTATTTTATACGTTCAAACAATCATCGTTCATGTTGATAAAACTCTTAATCCATACGTAGTTTCTATTTCGAGAGATTTTAAAAAGGTAAAGATATGGGTAAAAAAAACATACAGTTGAAGTGAGTACCGGTTCCTTTTTGAAGTCGGTAGAAGAGTTAATAGTCCCCGTGATGATAAGTGGATGTCATCTGCTATCAACGTCATCTCTGTCACAGTAATGCCAAATTATTACTTTTTTCGTTTTCATATTTAAAAATCGGTAACAAGAAATACAAAGTGATATAAATGAAATTACTAAATAAATAACATTTTAAGGCACTTTTCTTTTTTTGAAGCGTAATTTTTACACGATTTCACAGCACAAACTGTCATATTTTCAAAATCAAACCACTGACTCGTGACGTGTTTAAGCGGGGAACGTTTCTTGGCGCGTGACGCGGGAATCAAACGAAGTAGTCAATATTGACTACTTGTATTTGGCTTCAATTCACGGTGGCCTAATAGGAATCTGGACATTTTACATAATCTAAGATCCTAATATCTATTTTTGCAATACGTGCATTACTGTGTTCCAGTCTTTAAGGGTATAGAAAACCAGTATAATTATGATCTAGAAGGGATCCTATTTAAATCCTCAAAGGTCGTCCGTAACTTCTGTTTGAAGTGTAAATATGTTGTAAGCAGTATCTTGTTCTGTCACTAGTTGTCACACTGACACATATACATAGACAAAATTTGACGCGTAGCTTATCCATCCCGCGCCTTCATATTGATAAGCAATATTACATTACATTACATTATTTATTCTTTATTGCATTCCTTAAAACAAACCAATACAAAGGGCGGACTTAATGCCTTGAGGCATTCTCTACCAGTCAACCCATGGAGTTGCGAGAATTTGACGTAGGTGCGGCAATATAGAATAAAATAACACTACACAAAACGATAATTAACTATATAATACATACATTGCAATATAATCTCGGCCAGGGCCGAACTAGGGCCGGTTGCTGGTATTATTTAACTATATTGAAACAACCGATATACTTACTGAAAATCCACAAAAATCGTTATTCTTTAGGTATAAGAAGTGGAGTATGTCCCTTTGAATGAGTTTTTCATTAGTAACAACGGTTTATAAAAGTGGAAACAGCGACGATATAAATAACTACTGTCCTATTTCTGTCCTACCAGCTTTGTCCAAAATTGTAGAGAAACTCTTAAATACTAGGAAATTAAACTACTTAAATAAATATATTTTATCAAATCAACAATTTGGCTTTAGAAAACAACTTTCCACAGAAGACGCTATTCTCACATTAAGCTATTTAATCGTAAAGAAATTAGATAATGGCAAAAAGTGTATTACAGTATTATTAGACCTGAGAAAGGCTTTTGAAACGGTCTCTATTCTTGATCTTTTTCGCTTTCTTGAGCTTATCGGCTTTAGGAATACTTCGCCAAACCTGATGTTCAGCTACCTACATGAGCGCACTCAGCGTGTTCATGTGGACGCTGTGTCGAGTGACGAAGAAAATGTTATTTTCGGCGTCCCTCATGGTAGTGTCTTAGGGCCTACGCTGTTTTTGGTCTATATTTATGAGCTGTGCAAACTTTCTATTCCTCACGGTCACATCTTCTCCTATGCTGACGATACAGCTGTTACTTTTTCGGGAGACACTTGGGAGGAAGTGAAAATACGTAAAGAATCGGGGCTTAAAACTATAGCAGCCTGGTTAAATAACAACCTACTCTCATTAAACACGCATAACACAAATTATATTTGTTTCGCTATTTGCAATTACACTCAACCAACAACCAATTTCACCATTAAAATACACACTTGCCAAGACAGCCTACTTTTTTAATTGTGACTGTGCTGTTATTCATAGAGTAGACAAAACAAAATATTTAGGTGTTATTATTGACCACATCTTGGTATAACCATATTGAATTAATAACTGGCCGCATAAGAAAATTAATGTGGATTTTTAAAAAGTTAAGACATGTAACAACCCCAGAATTACTAAATAAAATATACACAGCACTGGCTCCATCTGTTCTTACTTATTGTATCCCAGTATGGGGAGAAGCTTTAAAAACAAGATTCCTTGAGGTTGAGTGAGCTCAAAGAGCCCTGCTTAAGGTCTGCTATTTCAAACCATACCGATTCCCCACCACTGACCTTTATAATTTGTCTGGTGTCTTGTCAGTTAGAAAGTTATATATTTTGTTCATATTGCTTTAAAATTCATAAATCTACCAGGTATGAACATGACAAGACAAACAAAAGAAACGACTTAGTTGTACATACCGTTTACTAATTATACCATACCTCAACATGTACACACCACATACACATACACTACACAATCACACAACTAACACCTACGGATATTTTATTGTAAAAATACTATATAAGTTTCATTATAAGTCAAAAATCTATGTGTTACCCAAGTTCTAAACACTAATTTATATAAATGAAGGATGGGAAGAGCAGAGTCTCCTAACACAAGTTTCCTCCTAACTTAAAAGGAGTGTTCCAATAATGTATCTAATTTTAAGTATTACTGGTCTGAAAATAAAGATTTTTTGATTTGATTTTGATTTCTGGAAATAGCCATACAATGAGATTATACGAATTCAGAGAGTTGCATTGATGATAATAATTCTGTAAATACATACTCGTTACGGTCGTGAATCATATTTTGTTAAACATACAACTTGACACTGACCTGCAAATCGCAAAAAACGTAAGAAAATTTGAATTTCGCGGGCTACCCTGGCGCTTTTACCTTAAGGGAGCCACAGGATATGTAATCCGGTTAAGTAGTCACGACCTTTCAAGGTCAACTGATATGCCATAATAAAGAAAAAAAACGCCAAAAGGAGGAGAGATGACTTTTGTCCATCGTTCTCTTAAAATACTCTTTTAGTCGCCTTTTACAATAACCACGGGAATAGATGGTTTTTCTATTCGTTGAGACTTTATTGATAAGTAATCCACACTTCTTATATCTATAGAATATAGATTTTTGCGGATTTTCAGTAAGTATATTGGTTGTTTCAATATCGTTACATAATAGCAGCAACCGGCCCTAGTTTGGCCCTGTAATGACACTACCTATGTGTACGTAATGGCTACGCAAGCTTAAGCACCCACCTTGTGGCAGTGGTCGCCGGTGTAGCCGGGCAGGCAGGCGCACACGTAGCCGCCGTACGTGTCGTAGCACACGCCGTGGCCGCACGCCGCGCGCTCCTCCTCGCACTCGTTCACGTTCACCGCGCACCGGGGCCCCGTGTACCCTGCACCGCCAACATACCAATCAACAACAACATCATACCACATCTTACAACCTAACTAACAAACGGCTCCTTGTTCCACGACCCAATCTCATAGTTTACCACGGCTACCTTCAGATTAAAATTATTAATTATTGGTCCGATCTACATAGTGTGAACTTATAGTATCTTCAAGTCTTGCAGTTGTGTGCTTGGGTTGGAATTGAATTTTATCAATTGTAGCAGACGGTAGCACCTAGCAATCTTTTCTACTGAAAATAGAATGTTTTTTAATTTTAATAGACTAACGAATCGTCCTTGGAAAGAATCGGTATTCTTTAGCCAGGATTGGCTGTCTATCAAATCTGATGTAATGACCGAGGCGATCTTGTACGTGTTTACAGAATGCAGACTTATTGGGAACTGCAGTCTGTGCGATATAAGTGATAAAATCCGTAAAAACTAGTTTGATTTAAATATGTAGTATTCGCGTAAACATAAGCATAACAAATCCCTCATCAATTTGGTGTTTGTCCGTGTGCAATTTATGAATGTAAACTGTCTTCACGATATAGAAAAAAATTCTAGTGTGAAGTTTTTTTTTAAATAAGTAAGAAACCGTTTTACATATGAACACGGAAATAACAACGTGTTTCTGGTAGAGAAAATCTTCTCGCGTTTTAATGGGATTCACCTAATTTAGGAGAAAGGAACATCTAGGAAAACAATACATAGTTCAAATTAATCAAACTGAATACGTTCTAGTTTATTCTCTGTCTCATGAATAATTGTTGAAAATCGAACATTGAATGTGCTAAAAACATTTTATTATTGCTTATGCAGTTATAAAATCTATTAATGAGTGAGGAAGGTGTAACCTGTGTGCGTGCAGTCGCAGGTGTAGTTGTTGACGGCGTCGAGGCAGCGGCCGCCGTGCAGGCAGGCGAGCGGGCCGGCGCTCGCGCACTCGTCCACGTCCACCTCGCAGTCGCGCCCCGTGAACCCTGCACCACAACATCACAACACCACTTAACCCACAACCATAAATGTGCTACATACAAATAGCTACAGATATGTGGTGGTTCCAGCATGAATGGTTCGATTCAACCAGGGTATAACAGTTCAATGCTGTTGTGTTTCGTATGGTAGTGCAAACCAGAGACCCTTTTTACTGGAAATGAGGCATTCCATCTTAGTCCTCAGGGGTGACAACGCATCTGCATTTTGATTCTTAATCGAATCTATGGTCCACAGCATCCACTTAACATCAGGTGGACTGTTTTTTTTTCTATAGGAGAGGGGGCAAACGAGCATACGGCTCACTTAATGGTAAGTGACTACCGCCGCCCATAAACAACTGCAATACCAAGGAAATTGCATGTGCGTTGCCCGCCTTTTAAAAAGGAGTAGGCTCTTTTCTTGAAGGTCCCTAAGTCGTATCGGTCCGCCGATCGGAAAGGACTCGATCATCGACTATTCGAGCGGCTCTGCTCTGGATGCGATTAAAAGGAAAGAGCTGGCACTGGGAGTACCAACCCAGAGATGGGAACAGTATTCCATGTGAGGCAGAACCTGCGCCTTGTAAAGTTGCAGGCGGTGTGTCGGCATGAAATACTATCCCGCTCTGCTGAGCACGCCAAGCTTTTTAGAGGCCAATTTAACCTTCTCTTACAAGTGACCACGAAACTACACGTCACTCGATATGTCGACGCCGAATATTCCGATACTGGCTAAGGCAACAAGGGTAGTGCCTTGAAACTGAGGCGATACGACAGAGGGGTTCTTTTTAGCGGCAAACGCGCAAACTTGTGTCTTCTGAAGAATAAACTGGACTAGATTTAGTCGCTCCCATTCAGAGACTTCAGCAAAGACTCGACTTCAGACACAAGTTTTGTTCCGGTACTCGACGACGTTTTCCCGAGTAATATTGGCACGGCCGGTGTTGAACAAGACCAGTGAGCGTCACTGAGAGTATCACCAGTGCTGTCATCCGCATAGCAATGAATGTTACCAGTTTGCAACGTATGACTGATATGCAGAAGAAACAGCGTTGGTGATAGCACGCAGCCTCGTGGAACACCAGCCTTAATAGACTTGTAGTCGGACTATGCACCATCTACAACGACCTTGATGCTCCGATCTGCAAGAAAGCTGGGAGGAAAGGGAGCATCGAAAGAAGAGCTTTGTGTCAAACCCGATCGAATGCTTTCGCTATGTCCTAACTAACGGCCAATGCCTCCCTCTTGGACTCTACTGCCTCCGCCCATCTATGAGTCAGGTAGACCAGAACATCACCAGCTGGTCGACTCCGACGAAAACCGTATTGTCACTAATCAGCTTGTAATGTCGGAACTCGGAAGGTGCTGAATGAAGGAGACGTGTTGCTTGTACAAGAACTTTAATTATACTGAGTCCTATTCTATACTTAATACTAATTTTATAAATGTATATTGTCGGAGGTAAAGGGGAGTCTACAGGGCACTACACCTCCCACCGACCAAAAAATAAAAAATAAATTAATGATTACATTTTTTTTATAAACTTTAAAAAATATTTTCTTATATTTTGTTTTACATTTCAAGATACTTTTATTTAATTCACTTTTTTATTAACTTTATATATTTACTTTATTCTTCGGTAACTATTATTTATTTTTCATTTTACTGCATGGCATTAAATATCATTAATAATAATATTTATCAAATAATTGTGTCTTTTCTTTCACGTACACAGCTCGCGTATACATCATTAAGAACATGGCCAATGTATATAGTCCTTTCTATGATTCTCATTTCAGTTAATAAAATAGTTACGTACGAGTAACTTAACTTAGTCATAAAATTATATGTCATTTGAGAGAAGAATTATTTCCTTTACATACACATATTTTTAAGAATCGAGGCTCACTATTTAATCATATATCATAAATAAACTATTTAAATCCCTTAAATGCTTTCCTAAAAGAATAATTTCAATATATTATAAATCTTATAATTTACTGAGGTCATTCAATTTAACCAAAAATTTAATTATTTCATTTCATATTAAGATGAACAGAACAAAGAAGTCAATGTTAAGCCACGTAATCATTTTCAATAACAATAACATAATCACATAACAAAAGACAGATCAAAATACAAATTGCGATCCCAGCTGCGTAAGCGATTTGTGACACTTTTGTTTTCAATTCCAAAGTACGTTTATGGGAAAGTTTGCGATTACATCGTATGATGTTATTATTACATACATATATGGATACGTGTAAAATAATAGATTTATTTTTATGATTCTTATTTATACATAATTTTAGATAGTTACTTTAATTTTACATCCATCAAAAAAAAATGCGTTATTTTTTTTTTAATTACAATTTCTGGGAGTATGATATTTACTATATCGTTTACAGAAAATAATTGAATAATCACTGTAACACATATCAACTTTACACAACAAAACATTAAAATTTAAACATTCAAAAGAACAATTTTTGTTTTTAAGTAGGTTATTACATAAATTTAAGGTCCTTGCTTTTATAAAAGAAAAGAAAAGCTAACACTTATAATTAATACTTAATAGTTTTAACTCTTTTCAAATTAAATCTTACATTTAAATAAAATTTACTATAGGAGAAAAAAAAAACATGTGATATAGAGATATAAGGAAATGTGTCAATGAGAAGGACACGTTTTGCTTACTCGGTTCAATAGTTTAGCTTGATTTATTTTTTATTTTTACATTTAGTTAACTATTAGGTATTTATTTAACTTCTTTATCAGATATTCTTTATTACAAAATTTTACCATAACTTTCAAAATGTTTTATTATGAATACACTTAAAATGTATCTGAAAATTCTGGCATTAAACACCTTTTAATTTACGTATTAAATATTTTACATTGCATTGTGTCATAATAAATTTACATACATTACCAAGTATTCATTATTATAAATGTTATTTATCATTAAAAGTCGTAAACGCATTAATACCTTTTTAAGATTACATGACTCCTAAGAAATGTGTTTATCTCATTTGAAATATAGATTTATGAAAACATAGGTTATTACGCAAATATAAGTTTGTATAGCAAAATATATGTTTGTATAGTATTTTTGGTATATAATAACATAATATTTGGTTTTATTGTCTTTAAAAGAAAAAATATTACATTATGAAACTTATATAAGTAATAGCGGATCGATACTGTTTCGACTTGATTTTAAAAACAATATATTAACCAAATTTAATTGAAAATTGTTCAACTTTTACATAAACAAAAAAACATAATATAAAATATAAAATTCAAGGTTAAATTATTATTTTAAGGAAAAAAATCTTGTAAATTCATATAAAATATACGCGAAATATATGCGCGAAAATGTTTTTTTTTTTTCATATTTAATTATTGATGTTTTTGTGTACATGCGGTTGTGTGTCTATAATTACAACATGTTTAATTTGTGAGTGTTATATAATTGTTAGTTGGCTGAAATGTGCGCCATGCACTGTACTTTATTGTATAAATATAATATTTATACTCTACTCTGATTACGTTCGTATCTCTAATTTATTTCAACATCTCCTTCCTATTTTTTTTATTATGTTGAATTTTGAACTTTGATTAATTGATTCTATATAATACGAAACAATCTTTTATAACTATTCATTATTTTTATAACGTAATTATTATTATTACGTGTATAATATGTACCTATTGCAATAATAATTTATATTATGATTTTATTTTATTTTAAGCCCTATACTCTAAATTATTGCGATTATGGATAAAATATATTATTTGCTATATGATTATAACACGTGTATTATATTAGGTATTTATTTAATTATACATGCAGTTATGTGGATCGATCCTATAGGTACTACATGTGCAACTAGTAGGTAGCATTTTGGGTAGCATCCTAGTAAAGAAATGCAAATAACTACCTATCTCACTTTATAGATTTGGTCGGGGATCCCCTTAATACCTTGTATGTAACATATTTTATTTTTTGTCATGTCCTTTTATGATTTAAAATTTTCTCATTTCATTGTACTTAATTTCATACCAGTACGACTACTCCTATTTACTTTGTTTCAATTATTAGGCCTTAAGTTATACATATATGTATTTATGTTTTCTTTTATAATTCTTGTATGTACATACTTTCTTTCCTTTCATAATAATTTATTGTTATTGACCTTTTAGCTAGCTTAATTTATTTTCGTAATTCAATTCACTTATATATTTATTTATTAATTAGATACCGGGAATCGGAGTATTAATTCACTTCATTTATATTTTATTTCGTGATATTTATCACGCGGGTACTTTATAAATGGATGCTGATAAGCAATACCATGTCAAGCCACACGAACTTAATTTTGAGAAAATGCCGTCTAAAGATGTCATACCAATTTTCAATAAATTTGTTTAAAGAAAATACGCACCCACCGGTTCTTTTCTATTTGATGAAAGAAATAATGGATTGAAAGTAAATTTTTATCATAAAAAGAGAAAATACTGCTAAGTTTTGTGAAAAAATTAGATTTTTGCATATTGCAAAATATGGAATACGCTATATTAGTCTAAACAGGAAATTAAGGAACATAACACTATTTTGCTAAATTCTAATTACGGGATTTAATGAAAGTAAATGTATGTTAAGGAGCATAAATGAATATTGATAAAAGTATATTCTCACTTACAATTTGTAAAGTAGTTTTAAATAAAAGTCAGTAAAATAGTTTTAATATTAATATTTATTGATATGAAAATAAAGAAAGCAATTTTTTTAAACAAGCCTGAGGATTAGAAAATTTTATATTCAAGAATAATAATTTTATTCATTCCTCAGACTGATAATTTCTTAGCAAAGTATCTTAGGTAAGCTAAAAATGATAACTTTAAATCTGTCTTATTTTTGTAAACATTTTATTACAGTTAAGTTAGTTAATTAACAGAGATATTTTATTATCACTTTAACTTAAACAACTAAGCGTTAGACT